CAATTGGACATTTCTTCTTCATTTCAGGTGAATAGTTTTTAATTATTGCTTGAACTGCGTCTGCAACAGGTTTTTCTAAGTGATGTAGATCGATCTCAGCCTCCTGATTTTCTGCAAAAAAGCATACATCTTTGAATTCTTGTAAAAGCTCTATGTCTGGCTTCTTATTTTCGACAGTATCTTCTGTTATTGTTGATGTCTTGTCAATTACTCTCTCGTTTGCATTGTCCTTCACTTTGGGTCGAAATTCTACGAAATTTTCCGATACTATTAAGTCCGCTTGCTTCAATACGCTGTTTCCTATTACAGCTGAGTATTGGATGTCGTCTCTGCTCGTAACATGAAAGGTTATATCCAGTAAGATACCATCAACTTCGACTTGAGTGACAAAGCTTCCCAGTGTATTTAGCTCACTATTACAGATACCAACAAGACACTGTTTTTCATTATTCAGTTCAACTTTTCCTAGCTCTTTAAGGATATCATCGCGTATCAGACAGAGGTCACAGCCTGTATCGATTAATGCAGAGAAGCATATGTTCTTACAAGACAACTCCTTAAAAATGCATTTTCCACTACTGTTGGCCTTGTTTATCATCGTGTTCGCATTTTGGCCTTCTTTCTTCTCCACTGCACGCGATCCTGAACAGTTAGCTGCCTTATGCCCTGGTTGAGCACACTTGTAACATTTTATTGGCTGTCTACATTCTCTGGCTAGATGTGATGGATCGCCGCATTTGAAACATTTCTTAATTCGTTCTTTATTCAAGTCAGGTTTCTTTTCTTCGGTATCGTTATGCATCCTACCCGTATTAGACGCTTGAGGGCGACTACTACGGATTTTCTCATATACCTTGATTTGTTCTTTTAGTTGCTGCAGAGTCTTGGCCTGATACAGATTACTTTTGTTACTCCTCGAGTCAGGTATTCCCTCAATAAAATATTCTATCAGGCTTGAGTCATCCAGGTTAAGAGGTCCGCCAATTTCCATAAGGCTATACAGATATTCTATATAATCTTCACCTTGACGCTTACGCCTATTCCGCAACATGCGGTGGACGTCTATTGATGAAACTACCGTCCCAAATTCTTCCAATAGCGCTTGCTTTAAAGATATCCAATCTGAAATTCCATGCTGACTGCGCACGAATAATTTTGCTGCACCTTTTAGTAATTGCTTTGAGTAAATAAATTTCTGAAGGTCGTTCCACTGCACTGCCAAAGCGTTATCTTCAAATTCATGAATCCATTTTTCAACAGCTGGTTGATTTGACCCATTGAATTGCGAGAGTGAATCTTCAATGTCGCGTAATGTAAACGTTGTTCGGACTATCTGCATTGGTGAGCTTTGACGGGTATGAGCCGACCCAGCATCGTCATACTCAGATTCATTATCGTCAACCTGCAACCCATAATATTCTAAAAGTCGGTCTTGCAAAGTTTGCTTTCTACCTGTTGTTACCAAACTAAGTGCCGATAACTTTTCTTTTAATTCGTTAACTCTTAACGCCAAAATTTCGTCTCTGTTCATTTTGTTATCGTCGTTGCTCGCTTTTCACAATGCTTAAAATTGAATCTTACAAATAAACAATTCAATGTACTTAACTTAATGGTATAAGTAATTAAACTCTTATGAATCAAATTTTAGTTTTTTTTTTCAGCAACTTTAGAAATTATTAAATTATTATATTCGTCTGTCTTAACTTATACTTTCACTTTGTGTTTGCTTACACTTAATTTCTTCTTTGTTATAATTTGATTCTTTGAAAATTTTTTACTGATTTAACACTCTTTACTCAACAACTAGTTATGTAATTATTTTCATATAATGACGAAATAACATACTCTGTTGTTGATCTGTAACTTGATACACCCTGTGATCATCGTTGTCGTGTTGAAGCACGTTCCAGTCACACGCTCTTTTATTGAAAGATTCCGCGCTCTTCGCTCTTCGCCTCTTTGATCTGCAACTTCTTATTTCATCACGAAGTGAAAATTTTGCGCTATCCAGCCTTTGCTACGCAGAATTTAAAACATCGCCTTCTCGCTTGCGCTTATCGACCACTGTCACGCAATACACGACTGTTTGTCTCGCTCTTACTAGAGCTCTCTAGGCATACTTCGCCGCTGTCGCCATTAATCCTAGACGATTCTTGACTTTTTCCATTTTTTCCAGGGCATACGAATTTTAATGAATTTTCATGCACCCGCTTCGTTTTATGCTCCGATTAATAGTCTTGCATACGTTTGTACTCGTTAATCAATTTACGAATTTCACAATTTCTGTCTATCCCACTTCTGACACCAAATTTGTAGGGATGACCATTCGATGGCCTTCACAAGCACTTGAGTTCTTTATGTTCATATTATTTTATTTAGAGAAATTGGTGAACAAGCGTAAACTTATGATTATTGTACATTTTCCGACATGTATTTCAAAGACAACGAGCAACAGCGAACACATCTTTTCATTGACTCTTCTAGCTTACAACTGAGCTTCTCCTTCTTGTATTTTTATCGATAAATCTATCGTTGATTAAATATCCATAGCAGGGTTGCATATGATAAGTGATTTTATATTACCAAATGAGTATAATGCCAACATTATACTCGCCTGTTTAATTTAACTGATTGTAAGTTCGACCACTCCTAGTTCTGTTTCCAACTCCTACATAGATATACATCTAAAGTTTCTTTGAAACATTAAACTATTGAATATTTAATTTTCAACAACACACTTCACTCGATTTTAGTCGACCTTGTACATAGTACATGATTTATGCCTGATGCCAAGTCTAATATTTTATTTAGCCATAAGTCAGCTTTAACACAATCTGAGAGTGTGATTATGGCAAATATTTGCTCAAATTCTAAAGCGTTTTTTTTTTGTAGTTATAATGCAATTATTTCTGACTCTGAGCTGTTTTTAACAAATATTTACATATGCTTATGCACCTAACTCAAACAATTGCTGAAATTCTCTTGTTAAAACTTGTTGTATACATTTCTAGCTAAGAAAAGGGGAACAAAATGTATCTCTTCATATTAAACCCAAGCACATGCTGCATTATAATAAATTAGTAAATATCCTTTGGACTTGGGAGAGAATTTTCTAGCAAAATAGTCGCACATTTTATGTTTTGCAATTCTGTTGGTTTTGTTATTTGTCAACCACAAAGCAAATGATTTTGTATCTTTTTGGACAGCTGGTCGATGGCCAACGGCAAAGGACCTGTGTGTGTGTGTGTGTGTGTGTCTACAGAATGTGACGTCAAATGGAATAATTAAGTCGCACTCGCACATGAGAAATTGGATGCATTCCAGGTCCAGTCCAGGGGAATCTCAGCCCGGGCTGAATGGCCAAAAATAGATGCAATTGAAGGTAATGCAGCTTTAAGCTGCAGCAACCGACGCATACATAAACACAAATTGGGATCCGGGACTCGGCCCGGGTCCGGGTCCGGCTCCAGCTGCGGCTGCGGAAGTAATTGCCGAATGAATGCCATTTGGCAAGTAACAGGTGGGCGGTTTTTCCCGCTGCTGCTGCTGCCAGAAGCAACAGTTCGGTTCTGTGCAGAAATTTGGGGTAGCATTGCCCCAGGCTGTGGCAACAACAAACTCAAACAGGCTGTTCTGTTGCCAGGCCTACCTATGTACATGCCTCCAATTCTTTGTATACCTGCCGTGTCCTGCACATGCGCAGTAAATCCTTTTAGCTTTCGATGCATCGAAAGCTTTATTTCAGTCTCTCGTGGGCGTCCCTTCGTTCTGGCTGTGTTTTTCCTTTCGATGCGTCAAGTGCAGTTTTGTGTCAACATTTTCCAGTTATCTTAAGCAAATTGCAAAAAGTTTTTCCTTACACTATGGTAAGTAATATTTGTTTTTCTTGAATAAACTGTGATTAACTTTCACATAATATTTGGCCAAGTGTGAGCTATTTGTTTAGATAATTAATTAAAACAACAGGTGTCTCATTTTTTATATTAAATAATTAATTAAATATTTGTTTTTAACAATATTTCATTAAACATTTCGAAAAAGAACTGTATTTAAATATATTTAAATCGAATCCCTTCTAATCCCTAGTATAACCTACATACTATGCCTAAGTTAGTATAAGGTATTCAGCTTTTTTGTCCTGATTTTCGTTCAAATATATTACTGTTTTTTTTTTTAATATTATTTTACACGATTTTCTATGGACCAACAAATTTATGTGCGCAGTTTCGAGACCTTGAATTTCAAATGCAATCAATCGAAACTTTGTAACTGTAAAGCAGAAGCACAAAAACATAAGTCAGGTATTTTCATAAATTTTCCAACTTGAATGCATTGTTAACAAAAGGACATTCAGCCTTGAAATCGCCTAAGCTAATCCATTAAGTAAACTATGTTCCAACAAGAAATTGTCCAATTAGCCAATTTGTAAGAACTGCACGCTTTTCATGCTTCAACTCCGCCTTCTCTTGCATTATACTGCGCACTTGCCTAATTAATTTGTGAATTCAACTGTAATTTCATTACGAGTTACGCCTCAAAGGGCACACACACATACAAATGCATATGTGTGACAAAGCTAAAGAGCACTAATGAAGTTTTCATTAGAAAAACCAAAGCTCACGGGCGCACAAAGTGAATGGCATCGGTGGATGTGTGGATATTAAGTAGTATGCTTCTACCTGAATAAATCTGTTCGGATGCAAGCGCAATGCTGCAGCGAATGAAATGCGAGCAGAGGGCAACAATAACAATGCGATGCGGGCAGCGCAAATCCGAAAGAGATAACACTCAAAGGCAAATAACAATAACAGCAAAGAGCTTTTTCAAGCAACAGCTTCGCCCACGCTCTCTCGCGCTCGCTCTCGCTCAGTGTGTCTCTCTTTCTGTTCAGTGTGTCCGTCCACTGTGTGTGGACTGTGGACTTTATGTGCCGTTATTCGCTTCCTTTCGTGCCGCCTGGCATTGTATAAATTGGAGAAGCGTCGCGCATTTGATGTCACTCTTGGTTCCGTCTTGACTGTGGCTGTTGGCAGAGTTTTTGTTCAGCCGCGAGCGAGTCCTTGTGGCAATTGTAAGAAAGCGTAGGAGTGACGCCATGTTGTGAAAAGTGTCTACCATTTTTATTTGCCGTCGTCAAATACAAAGAACACACACACACACACACACACACACAAAAAGCAAATACTAACTGCAACGCAAAAGCATTAAAAAGCCCAAATACAACAAGGAGCAAAGTGCAACTTTTTTTCACACCACCCAGCGACAGAGACGTCCAAAAAAAGAGGAGCTGTCGCGTCCATTGATTTGTTTGTTGGTAAGCGTGGGCGTTGTGTCAATAAGTCAATATAAGCAATGGCCCATAGTTGGGTCCTTACACTCAATATCAATATATCCATTTGCCAATGTCTCTGTGTGTCAATGTTTAACAAGAGGCCCGCTTTTGTGCGCTTGATTAACTCTAGCGAATGCCAAATAAATTATTTAGCTGACATTCAAAATTAACTCGACAAACTGTTAAATAACAAGAAAGTGAAGAAAAGCTGCAAAAACGATTGTCCGTCCATATCAAAAGGTTCACTTGCTGCTGCCCAATTAGTCGCAGCCTCTGGCCCAATATATATGTATACTCTGTATACACTGTATATATACTCTGCTCAAGCTGTGCCGTCAATTGAATTTGTCACCAAACTTGATTGCCTGGCTCGCAAATGCATATCCATCAAATAAATCGAATTATGTTGCCAATTTGCATGTCCTGCCCAGCCTCAATTTAGACTACTCTCGACTCCTACAGCCTGTATGTATGTATGTATAATATGAGTGGCAGCTAATGGAAGCTGTCTATCAGAATGAACAGCCAGCAAATTTATACAAGGCATACGCACACACACATTTATAGCCTGGCACAATACTTAAGCAGTTGCTTTCATGTACTTCTTTTTTAACATCAAGCATACGCCCAATGGTACATGTTTTATTTTTAATTTTTTTCTTTTTAGAAAAAGTTGCGACAAAAGCAACCGCAAAATCCTCAACAAACTTTTTGCTTTACTTATTTATAAGCAGCAACAACGTCTATATAGTATCAAAAGCTAATCAGAAAAAGCAATTTTCGCATGTGTTTTTATAAGTATATATATATATATACATTAAGGGTTGCGGTTCTGGGTCCTGAGCACGTTAAAGCTGTTCCTGTTGTAGAACTGGCTGTCACATAAATCGCAATTTGAAACTTTTCAGTTTTTGCTGTTTACTATAAAATAAAAAACACTGTCAAATTTGCATATGTATAAATTGCGCTCGGAATTAAACATGAGAAACATGTCATGTGAAGTTCGTAGAAAACAATATCTCAACTGTGCATATTAAACCAATTATTTCGCCCAGAATTTGCTGGAAACGTAGCAACAGATATCGAATTGCAAAATGTTAATTGCAAAACTCAATTGAAGACAGACAGGATGCCAAATGAAATGCGTTTAGGCAAATGCCGAAACGGTTTTGAATTTCCAGTAACATTTTAAATCAATTACAATTTATTTGCCTTAGTGCTCAACGGTATTCAAATCCAGATTTAAAATGCGGTCGAAGGCCTTGATTTATGTCTTTTAACGTTTCTATAAATTTATGCTCAATTGCTTGGGCGAATACGTTATGCAAATGAAAAACTGGTTTTTGGTTGCTGTTGAGCAAAATATAAGTATAAACAAAAGGAAAAGGAAGTGAAATAAGTTGAACTAAATTAATTTTATGCTTTTGCGACTTTGCTTGGACGCGTTTAAGCGGGACCAGGACGCAGCTGAGACAACAGGCAGCCAGGCAGCCGTAATAATATTATAATATTATATAATGAAACAACAGCAAGCTAAAAAAAAACAACAACAGCTGCAGGCGAGACGCTCTGCAAGTGGGCGGGGCTGCCTTGACATTTAATGGCGATTAAAGGCAAAACGTCTATCATAAATTCCAACGCAAAATGAAAAGCGAATTGTGGCCAGGGACACGGGGGCATATATATACGATACAACACCATGAACTATGGGTGTGTATAGCTCAGTTTTGTGCCGTGAAGCGACCGCAGCGAAGACAGCAACAGGCAGCTGAAGGCGGCAACGTGGCGTATACATTATATTGCGTATACGTCAAGTGTACGCCGTGTACAAGAGTTTTTGTTCGTTTTGGTTTGGGTTCTGCTGCCATTCCATTCATCACGACAACTATAGCATACTTTTGTGCGTCACAAATAAAAAGTTCGCCCGTAAAGGAAACTGGTTGTCATTGGCACATATCAACATAATTGTCAAACTGCGTCGGCAGCTATGGAATGCTGGCAGAAACTTGGCTTCAACACATAGGAATTTTATCGATTTATCTGTGTGGGCCGGCGTTGCTCCTGTAATCCTCTGCGTCAGCAGTTCATTAACAGTCCGGATGAGAAAATAATTGAAATGCCTGATGCCGAGTGCGCTGCCTCTTTCACAATTTGCATAGTTATGCGTGGCAAACACCTCACGAATTCCGAATAATTATGTTGAAAATATGTAGAGCTGGCTACAGTGATAGCTCGCTTGAGCATACAAACTGGCGAGCTACCGCACGAAAGAATATTTTAGCATAAATGTTTTATATTATATTATATAATTTTTGCTGCTGCGTCTGCTTCAACGACCTTTGCTCAAATATTATTTTATATTACGTTTTTTATTGCGCTGTTTAGGCAAGCCAGCTTTCACTGTACTTGCGGCATTTTGTGTGCCATTAGGCACGCCTAATGAATTGGTGACAATGAACTTCTAAGACCCATACTACCTGTCGCCCATCCATTTGACACCTGATAGCACACCTGCTGGCGTTTGCTTTAAAGTGCAAATGTAATTAAAAGTTTTGTCCCAGGGATTTTTGTTACTTATGCGAACCTGAAACGTGCCGCGCATAAAATCATATTAATGCGTTTATCCTTTAAACTCTTTAGCCGCACTTCTAAGGCAGCTGTCGCCATGGCCGGCCAATTTGTTGAAGCTGTTGCCATCCTGGGCCTGCTCGGCTGCATTGTCCTGGCGACGCCCCAGCGAGGCGCCTACTCGCTGCAGGCGGCCGTCGATGAGCTGCATCGCCGCGAGGCTGCCAAGTATCCATTAAACGCGCCGCCCCCCTCGGCACGCTTTGCTGCGGATCAACTGGACGATTGGGACGAAGGTGAGTCTGTCAGTTAATTAGCCTGGAGTGTCACTTGAACCAAAGAGCTGAATAGTTAATTAGTCGAATAATTGGCATTGACTGCAGCCGTCAAAAGACTAATGAGGCGGGCAGAATGATAATGAGCTGGGCGAAATCATTGGATCAAATCGAATGCCAGGTTTAGTCGCTCACTTGAATGAATTGCACTCGAGCAGCACCAGTTTATAGTGTGTACCTTTTAACTATTAATCCCTTCAAATTTATTACGAAGAGTTGCAAGCACCTGCGAATGATTCACAGTAAATCGCAATCAGTAGATTTATATTTTTTTACATTTCAATAATCACGAGTCAAGCAACATACTTATAATTATCATATATTCTTTTAAAATGGCACCTTTCTATGCGATTCTCATGCTAGCTAGCTATGCCTGAGCATTTTGATAACTTCATTGTAATTTAAAGATGCGATCGAGAGTGTAAATGTGAAGGCTTTAGTGGCGATAAGAGAAAGTGAGAAAGTAAATAAGGTAGGCAGGAAGACCGAGTAAAGTAAGAATAAGAGAGAGGGAAAAGATAGGGAATAGGCGAAAATTAAGATAGATAGATAGAGTTTGAGACAGAGAGAGAGAGAGAGAGAGAGAGAGGGAAAGGGAGAGGTAGAGAGATAGAAATAGAAAGAGTTAGAAAGGAAATGAGAGAGGGGGTAAGAAATATGAGAGGGCTTAAGAGAAGGATTAATGAAAGCCAGGGGCAGAGACCTGCTGCAATTCTCATAATCGCAATCTTAGCTAACATATATTAATGTAATATCAAATGAAAAGGCAATATAAAAGAGTTGATAAAAATGTATTTTTCAAGTCTCACTCTGCTCTCTCTAGTCCATTAATAATTCTATGACTAATGTCAAGCGACTGAAATGCGTCAATGCTAGATATTTATTTAAAGAACGATATAACGAGATTGTCAAATTTTAAGCCCAATGCACATTTACGTGGTCGTGACGTTTCTCAGCGGGGGTAAAACGCATAATCTCAAGTTAATCCGAAATGGCAAGTCAGGTCGAGACAGGACAGGGCAGGACGGGACAGCTGTCAGCTGCAGGCAATCCGATAAACCAATCCGTAACTGATAGCCAAGGGAAAAGGAGGAAAAGGAGGAGGAGGAGTAGGAGGAGGAGTCTGGGAGGAGGGCGGGTTGGTTGGTGAAACAGCATCAGCTGGAGCCCGCATGTAACCGAGCACGTGACCCATGGCCTGGCTTCCAAAAATACACACCCACACTCACATACATGACCCGCTCACACCCCCCACCCCGCCCCGCACAAAGCACACTTGATTTTCATTTTTGCCCCGCATTTCGTCTCGTTTTGGTGTTTCTCCATGCACACTTTGCAGATAGCGATTTATTTGGCACCGGCACCGGCAACAAGTATAAGAATCGGAATCGCCATAGAATAAATAAAGCACTTGCCAAGTATTTAGAGCGCGAGAACGAGAGCTACGAGCCGGGCCTAGGCGCCCCCTACGATGGCTACGAGTTCGACGATGAGCGCGAGCAGCAAACGAATCCCAGCAATCTGTTTGTGGACGAGAAGCGAAAGCGCTCCTCCTCGCCCTTTAGGGAACGCGACGAGCAGCAATACGGTAAGTAACCCCTGGATACACACGCACATACGCACACACGCACACCCAGACCCATCTGTTGGGTATTGGTTAAGTTATATGCTAGATGCGTGTCCACTTGAGTGCCTCAAATGGATTGGGATAACAATGCTTTTCGCTTTGCAGCCAAAGTTACTTAGCTCAGATTAACTTGTGCTGGAGGTGCCCATGTGTGTGTGTGTGTGTGTGTGTGTGTGTGTGTGGACTTAGGCTCAACTCTCTTAGTCGAATGATGAATGCAATGAGCTGGAATCTGGCACAAGCATCCTGCCAGCCTTCCTGTCATTTGATTTAATGGCTGTGCCTGAAAGGTCGCCAACAACTTGATGCGTGCCCATAAGCTCTACACACACACAAACACACGCACACACACACACACAGTCGCACGCACACAGAATTAATTATAGTAGTTGGATTTATAGTCCGGGCCTGTCGGAGCAACCTGTCGCTTGGCAACTGATTTAATTGAAGGTCAAAGTACTAACACGAGCCTTGCTTTCTTTCTTCACACACACACACACACACACACACACACACACATACATGCACACAGAGAGTGGTCCGTCCGTGTTCCGTGAGCGTGAGAATCTAGGCGGGAACGCAGTTGCCGCCGGCGGCGATCCGTCGCACAGCGAGCTAACCGAACAGTTTCTGCGCGAGATCGAGGAGGCCGGCGAGCACGATCGTCAGGAACGTTACAAGGCAGCGCTGCGTCAGCTCTGGGAGAAGTATCAGCAGCAGGAGAACGAGCTGCACGGCAAGGTTCAGGATGAGGAGCTCGAGGAGCAGCAGCTATTCGAGCAAAAGAAACGCATGCGCGTGCCGCCCTACTATCTACTCATGCAGAAGAAGCGCTCGTATCCGGTGCTGCCTTGGCTGCCGTACAATGCGGACAAGAAGAAACGCTTCCCGGTGGCCAAGCGTGCGGCGGGCGAGTCACCGCTGGGCAAGACCGACGAGCGTGTCGCCCAGGAACTGAGCGAGCTATTTGGCAGGCCACTTGACCAGCAGCAGCAGCAGCAGCAGCTGTCGGAGGAGAAGAAGAAACGCTCCACCGAGGAGCAGCTGAAGGCGGCGCCCACCACGTTGCTGCCGGAGACAGCGGCTACGGCCACGGCTCTGGGCGATATGCGGCTGGAGATCAACTTTCAGCGCGTGAACGTCAGCAATGGATTGGCCAAGGAGCCGCCGCCGGCACAGCCAGCGGCACCGGCACAGCCCGCAAAGCCAGCCGGCACAGGTGAGATGGTCGTGCATGGACATGCGGGACATCATCGCAAGCGCAGTGAGCATCACTCGGACGAGGAGTACGGCGAGCACGATGAGCACGAGGGCGAGGGCGAGGGCGAGGAGAGCTCCGACGAGGACGATCACGACGAATTCGACGAGGAGGAGGAGGGCGAGGCCGACGGCGAGGGCGATGCTGCAGATGCTAACGAGCGACGCCGCAAAAAGAAACGTGCGGCCAGCGCCAAGCATATGCATGGTCCCGGCGTTGGGCATCTGATGCTGCGCGCGAAGAAGTCCATCGATTGGTCCCAATACTTTGGACTCGATCGCAAGAAGAAGTCGGATCAGATGTCCGAGTAAGTGCAGCCGTTCGAAACAAACGAGCAGGATCGCGTCCAGATTTTCCCCTTTTCTTTGCACAATTACAGAGGCGAGTCGAAGAAGCGACGCGATGAAATCGGCAACAACATTAACAGTGAAGGACCGGATGGGGAGGCGCACAAGAAGAAGCGCGACATTGATCCCGAGAAGTTGGAGAGCATGGACAAAAAACTACAGTCCATTGAGGATTTCATTATTGATGAAACCATCAAGTACACTGGTGCCCACGAGGGCATCAAGAATCAGGACGAGATACGCAAGCTAAAGGAGCATGTGCTATCGCGTCTGGCCACCGCCTACAGTCTGGAGAAGATGCGCCGTGCGCTGGACAAGCTGCGTCAGTCCGTCGACGCTGAGAATCATCTGTTGCGCAATGTTATCGATTCCGATTCGGAGGAGAACACGCTGGACAATAATTGGACAAACAAGAAGCGCTACAGTGTACGCAAGGAGCTGGCCGAGGAGCAGTCGGAGTAAGTGCAGCCGCGTGGGTGGAAACAGCCGAAATTAATCTATCCTCTTTAGGGAGCCCCAGCAGCAGCTGAAGAAGAAGCGCAGCGGCTATATGCGCTATCCGGAGCAGCCGAACACCATGGACGAGGCACTTACCATGCAGGGCACACCCTACGAGACGCTCAACGACGCCTATCTGGGCAACAAGAACTACATCATTGGCTCCAATCAGTGCCCAATTATCGAGTCCATGGCCGAGCGTTGCCGCAGCGTTGACCTAATCTCCGGCGACTTAAACCAAGAGCTAATGCCCCTCTGTGGCGTCCATCAGATCTGTTATCTCTGTGTAAGCTTTCTCTCAATGATTCTCTAATCTCTAAGCGATCCACTAATTATCGCACTTATGCATTTGCGCAACAGGGCGCCTCGCAGGTGGCCTGCGACTACCAGTACCTGGCCGAGGCGGACACCATCTGCGGCAGCAGCAACGAGTGCCAGGCGGCGGCACGGTCCGTGCTCATGATATTGCGCGGCACGCCCGGCCGTCAGCTGGGACCGCGCGAGTGCTTGAAGAATCCCTGCCTGTACAGGGCCATGCGGGAGATTGGGCTCTAAGCGAGCCAAAAGTTTAACTAAAAGCCAAAAATTCAAAACATTTCTTAACGTCCTTTTGTGTGCGTTTCAAAAGAAAACAACAAAAATACTACAAAAAAAAAGAATACAAAAAGAAACTTTGCTGAACTAGCAAATCAAATATTTGATTCAAAAAGAACGATATATATAAAAAAAAAAAAAATAATATTTACATATAAATGTGAACAAACCTTAAATATTTGGATAAATTTTGCTGTTGCCAGAGAAGCAACAGCTCAACTAGGAGACCTAAAATACACTTAACAAAAAAAAAAGAGAACCTATAGGCATACCAAATGCGATTTTCAAAGCAGCATAATAACCATATAACAGAGTTTAAACGATTTTTCGATTCGCCAAGCAGTAGGCACCAGATATAGTCCTTGAATACAATACCAAATGTTTCATGTTTTTCTTTGGAGTGTGGATAGCAAATTTTTGATTTGGAAGCACATTTAATCTATATATATTACATATGAATGTCTACAAAAAAAATATATATATATATACAAGAAAAAAAGCATATTATAATCAAAATATTCATATGGTATATTCATAAATGTATTAAAAATTATTATGTGTACAAGTTCGCAAAATAAATAACAGAAAAAAAAAACACTGAGAAAAATAATGAATACAAAACACAAGCAACTCACACAGGCAGCTACTTAGCCGATATATATATATATATATATATATCTTTTAGATACCGCCCATTAAAAGCAACACAAACAAAAGTATACAAATACATATTTATATAGCTAAATCAGATGTAGAGGCATAATTGACGCGATGCACACAAAAGACACATAGAGAAATATCAGTTAATATATATATATATATATATTAAAAATATAAATTTTGAACACATTTAGCGTATATGAGATGGTAACTTGATAAATCTTTTTTAAATGTATTTTAATGTTTTCATGGAGCCCATAACAAATACATTTATTTGAAAGAGTTAAGAACTTCGAGTCAAAAACTAAAGAGAACATTCTTCAAATGAGATCTTTAATACACTTAACTGTGAGGTTTGCAGGCGAAAATTTTGTTGTTGTTGTTTTGAAATTTTCAATGAAGAAAATGAAACAAAAAGACGGCTTGAAAAGATTTCGCGAGTTACTTATTGATGTCATATAAAATATTCATGATATTTATTACTGTGCGCGAGCATTTCTACGAATAAACATATACTTAAATGTGTTTCAGTGTAAAAACAATAAATGAAAATAACTAAGACAAATATTCTTTAAAAATCTATAGATGTGATTATATAATAAAACTAAGGCAAAAGGCAAAAGGCAAAAGGCAAATACAAAACACAGTAAAGACAAAACTAAACAAAAACAAAAACAAAATAAAAACAAAACAAACAAAAAACATTGTATTGAATCAAAATATTATTATAAATGTATTTACATATATATATATATATATTGCTGGATGTATAATATGCTACAGTTTGACAAAGAATTTAATGAAAACTCTTATATGACAAATATATATCTATATATACGTATTGCTATACAGTTATAAATGTAAAATATATAAACGAGGTCTCGCCCAATGCGCTTTTAAATTGATACAAATCTATAACGGCATATAATTCCAATGGTGACGCATGAGACCTCGAAAAAAAAAAAACAAATTGTACTCGTTTTATTTGTGAACATTGGGTGTCGGATTTTTTAACTGTAAGTACTCGAAGCGTTACTTCGAAGTCTGAGCAGCTTAACCTGTTTGCGTTTTCGAAGTTTTGTACGAAGAGCCTTATTTCGAATTGGGCGCGCAGCTTTCAGTGCTGTAAAAGCCTGACAGCTGTTTTCAACAGAGTTTGCATTGCTTGCGTTGTCCGATTCAGAGTTGTCATCCCAGCTGAGTTTGCCACATCAGAATTAGATTGTTGCTGTTTTGTTGTCTGTTTAAACAATAACACCATATCAAGGTACAAATTTGTTCCAATAAATTAATAGTATGTTCTAAGCAAAAGCAGTTGTGAGCTCGTCTGACTACTAATGTAACTGCATTCAATGTGATTAAGGTTCAAATCGTCAAAACTTTGAACACGTCAGATCTGTGTGCAGCATCCGCAGCAGCCGATAAACAAACCAAAAACATTTATCAATCGGAACCGGAGCAGTGTACATAAAGCAGCTGCACAGATAAAGGCCAAACAGTGTCCAATTAGCCACGAAGTTGCCGACGCGTTGACAATTTTTGACGAAGCCAAACAACACAAACACGCAAACATGGCAGAAACAACAACAAGCATTGATGTCAGCGGCGAAATGGAGGTGCCGCCGCAGCGTCCAGCTGGTGGTCAGAACAGATTCAGCATCGATATGCCAAAGTGCGTAGCCACAGGCACATCTCTTAAGAATGCAATTTAATACCATTTTATGTTTCCCACAGCCTGCCTTCATTGTCGAATTTGCCCACTCCCTTGGAGTTGATTCACATGGTGCGACGTTCCCTGCGCCCGTGGACTGTGTTCTTCAACATCAACAATTTTAAGACTGCGGTCAGCATGCAACGACTGCAAAATCGAGTAACGCGTAATCTATCATTTTTCCAAAGCAACTATATATTCATATTTATAGTGCTGATGATCTACTGTTTGTAAGTGTATATATTATTGTCCATAATTGAGCGCAGTTGTTAACATATTTGTGTGCATCTCTTTTTAGGATTACATCGCCGGTTACTCTACTGGTTATAGCCGCTGTGGCATATGGCTGTCACAAAATACGCTACGTCAATAACAATGTGAATATCGCCGGTTATTCCATGTCGCCGAAGCAGCAAGTCATTGCCTTGAACATGGTAGCGGCACCTCTGCTATTCCTGGCTGGTGCTGGAGCTGTGCTCTTTTGGACGCTGGGCGCATCTTGCTTTGTGATATGCCTGCATGCGGTATTCTACAATATTGACGCAATCGTAACCGAGGAGAACGAGCTATTCTTAGCGCAGGTCGTCTAATTGACGAGCCTCCTACCGAAACTGAGCATGTAGAATCTTAAATCTGTAGCAAGTTAATTGCCGCACAGGGGCCTTATTAGACAATAAGTTGCAATATATATATATTTATATCGAAACCGACTTGTAATTAAGTTTTATCAATCAGCGACAATGTTGCTTTAGACGTATTAAAAAAAAAAAAATAACCGTATACACCAACAAACATGTTTTTTTTTTTTTGTTTTTAATCATTGCACATAAATATGTATATATATATTGTGTACTTAAAGCAATTTGGCAAAAGTATCGCAACAGTAGAAAATGTGGAATGGTCAGAAAGTATACACAATCACATGGTAAAGTGGAATAAATAAAACATGTATAAAAAGAAATTCACTGAGGTATTCAGAACTAGAACTAGGAATGCTTCGTTAGCTTTACAAAATAGATAAGTCTCTTGGTCCAGGTGTGTGTGTGTGTGTATGTGTATGTGTTTACTGTCGCCTAGGCGAACTGCGAGAGCGTTGTCGTCTCCGGATCGTGCTCCTCATCGCTGGCATTCTGATCGAGCTTCTCAAAGCCATTGCGATCGAGCAGTCCGCCCAGCTTAAAGCCCTCGGTCTTCTCCCAGGCATGCCGGCGATTGTGTGTGCCAAATGGCAGGCAACCTGTTGAAACCGCATCAAAATGACAATTTAATTGGGAAAAACAATGGAAATGCACAGAAACATAAATATATATATATATATACAGGGCATGCACTGGACGTTCTTTCACTTGCGTTAATCAGAATTTCATTCATTCGCTGCAATTTAAAACAAACAAAAAAAAAGAACAAAAGACACTTAAAAGTAGATTATTTCTTACATTGTTTAGATTTGTGTATGTATTTTGTATAAAAAATATAGGTATGTATATAGCTGTACACAAAAAATGAGATTACAAAATGAGAAACACGATTCTTGTCGAAGAAACTGGCAAGAGGAATGCATGTATAATCAACTTAAAAGTAAATTTTTGAAACATTATACACACAACTACATAATGGAACTGGAGTGTGAGTGGTATTGGTTAGCACAGACTTTGATTGGAAGCGGCCAGCTCGCGATAGACCAAATCACTGGGTGGCATCGAGCTGATCACTTGATTACCTCGTTTGCGGCGGCGCGCCATAATCAGCGCCAGAACGAATGTGGAGCCGGCAAATAGGAGCATCATCGACGCCACCATTATGGCCTTGCCGCTGGGATGATGGCGAGTCCGTGTCGCATCCACATCGCTAGCCGTTACAGACATGTCGCTTTTAGAGATTTGCTTTGTCGCGGACAGGGACATCGGCTTGGCCAGCGATTTGTGCACAAATTTGTGTATGCGCTTGGGACTCAGTTCAGCCACATAAATCGTATTGCCATCCTCAGTGACGGCCACATCGTGCGGATTCTCGAATTGCAGATTGTTCGGGCCAAACTTGGAGACCAACTGTTTGGTGCGCATGCTCATCACGAAGCCATGCACTTCGTTGTGGTCCTGCGGGGAGGATACACCCAGTTCGGCGGTGGGTCCGTTAACGATCACCAGCTGGCCGCCTAACAATTCATCACATAATTCAAATACATTTTAAATTGGGATAAGTAAGCAAGACTTACCCGCTGCAGGTGTATAGGCCATGCTGAACAGACGATCACCAATGAGCGGACTATGGTATTGGGAATGAAAAGTACCACTGTTCGAGTAGAAGCACTGTACGCGTCCATTCTCACGATCGGCGGCACAGAGCAGCTCCAGTTCGGGCACCAGGGTCAGTGCATGTGGAATTGCAAAGAAATTGGCCGGCGCCACATCATAGGAGTAGCCAGAAAAGGAGTTTTGTCCCCAGACAAGTATCTGTTCGCCCTCCTTCGTGTATTTTATAATGCGCGCATTACAATAGCCGTCGGCTACAAAGAAGTCCCCATTGTTCAGCACCGCCACCGCGGTGGGTTTGCAGAATTTATTTGGACCATTGCCCGAATGAAAGGCAGTGCCCAGTGTCAGAAGTGGTTTACCGCCCTCGCCACGAGGCGAGAATTTAAATACCTGGTGCATAGCGACATCGGTGACCCAAACATTGTCCTCGGGATCAGTGCTCAAGCCGTGCGGCAGGTAAAAGCTGCAAGCAAACGGCAGTCAAATGTAGCAACACAAAAATAATGAATACAATGGATGGCGCTTACAAGTTTTTACCCCATTCGTAGAGCACTTGGCCAGAGTCCGGCTCAAGGCCCAGCACAGTGTTCTCTTTAATGGGACCTCGATTGCGCTCCTGGTATACGTTCGCAGTGTTAAACGTCGTTTGATCCCAAATCCGATCGACTCTGTGAAATATGACCACATTGCCGGCCTTGTCGAAGCTAACCGCGGTGACGGCGCCCAGTTTCACATTATTCGCTGGCCAGCTATTCTGATAGACATAGGCTGAAAAACAATGAGAAGCGATTCAGCATGACCATAAATCTTAAATGTGTAGGGTACTCACTGGTGTTCAGTTTGGCTAACTCAGTCTTCACATCGGTGACTTGCGGTTTGGCGCGCTGTGGCCAATTAATTTCGGCTGCGCCAACACCTTTCAGCATTTGCTGTAGACGCTCGCTGTTGCTCCCGCTGCCAACAGCGACATTATGTAGATAACGTTGAGTGCTTTGATTCTGTGAATAGATTAAAATAAACAGCGTATAATTCAATTTGTTATGGGAGCATAAATTCCTCTAGGTACACACACACACGCGCATGCATGTGTGTGACGTCAGAAAACAAAATAAATACACAAAACATCTGTGTTCAGGTGGAAAACATATGTTGTCGTATTTAGCAGGAAACAATTAAATTATTAACGCGAAAATCACCTCGTTCACAGCAGCAGACGTAGCCAGCGTGCAGCAGACACTCCAGAGAATGCCGATCGCCAGGTAAAGGCTGTGGCTACGTGTACAACTGTTGTTGTTGTTGCTGCTGGAGCGCTTCATGTTTACTCATGAAATGTAAAAGCCAATTTTCCTGTTAAATTAGGCCAGGTTAAAATCTCGTTTGCAGCTTTTGTTGTTGTGTATTGTATTCCCTTAGGCGTGCCACGCGCAAGTCTTCGCAAATCTTCGCGTCTGGTCAGGTCAATACAATTAAATATTGTAGTCAACCAATCGACATGCTCGCGACGTTTTAAGCACAGTAAAATGGCAAGTTGCGAGCAACTGGAATGTTGTTTTTGGCTGGCAAACTGCTTATACAGCTTTAATTCTGGCGAATATGCACAGCAATTAAAAACTTTTGGCAATAAATGATTTATGTAGCTGCAGCAGCCATTTTAACTGGTTGATTGTTAGAACAGCTGGAAGAGTGACCAAACTAGCTAAAGCGTCAAATGTGTTTAAAAAGTGTGGTCACCCTAACGATAGGTTTGACTGCGCGTCTATCGATTGCGGAATTTTTTAAAAATTAATCGTTCTTTAACTGTGTATAAAAACCGCTCAGTAGCTGTTAATTATTGAGTCTGTATGTTGAATCGAACGAGTAACATTTGTGCAAATTCTCTAAACTAAACTAAATTAAATTGAAAAAACTCAGCAGTGCGACTTGGTGACTAACGCACCAACCAACTCTTGTTGCACAATGGAACTTTTAAATCATTGTTTATTTGTAATTATCACAGCTGTTGTGTGCGCCGCAGAATATGAGAAACGCGAATCGCCTTTTCGCCGCAGCTTTATAAATCCATACCCACAATTCAGTTCACACAATGACGGCATAGATCCTGGCGAACCGCTATTCCTGACGCCCCTGCTGAACAATGAGTCCATATCCAGGCAGGAGGTCCGGGATATGGCGCGCGTTAAGGGTCCACAGTTTCTAGGAGTGGAGAGCTATTCGGGCTATCTGACCGTCGACGAGGCTTACGATTCGAATATGTTTTTCTGGTATTTCCCAGCCGAGCAGGATCCGGAGCATGCGCCAGTTCTCTTATGGCTACAAGGAGGACCCGGCGCCTCCTCCCTCATAGGTTTGTTCATGGAGAACGGCCCACTCAGAGTAATCGCTCAGAACAAGCTGCAAAGGACGAAATACGGCTGGAGCAGAACACACAATCTGATCTATATCGATAATCCTGTGGGAACGGGCTTCAGCTTTACGTGCCATGCGGAGGGCTACGCACGCAACGAATGCGATGTGGGACGAAATCTGCACGAGGCAGTCATCCAGCTGTACAAACTGTTCGCGTGGAACAATTCGTCTGGCTTCTGGATCGCAGGCGAGTCGTATGCCGGCAAATATGTGCCCGCCCTGGCCTATCACATGCACAATACTCAGTCTGGACTTGAGGATCACGATCGTATACCGCTTAAGGGCGTGGCTATTGGCAATGGTCTGTCCGACCCGCTGCATCAGCTCAAATACGGTGACTATCTGTATCAGTTGGGCTTGATCGATGAGAACGGCCTAGAAAAGTTCCATTGCGCGGAGGCAGCGGGAAGGGCCTGTATTAGGCAACAGGACATGGACTGCGCCTTTGAGATATTCGATTCCCTGATTCTGGGCGATTTGCCAAGTGGTTCCCTTTTCAAAAACTTGACGGGCTATCAATGGTATTACAATTACTTGCAGGCCTATGACGAGGACTACGTCTCCAAGCTGGGCAACTTTTTGCAGTCAGGTGCCACTCGTCGTGCCATTCATGTGGGCAACAAGCCGTTCCACGACATGGACAAGGAGAATCAAGTGAAGATGTTCCTCAAAGAGGATCTCATGGACAGCGTGGCGCCCTGGATGGAAGAGCTCCTAAAATACTATACCGTCTGCGTATACAGTGGCCAACTGGATATCATAGTTGCCTATCCATTGGTACGAAATTATTTGAAAACCTTAAAGTTCCCGGGCTCCGATCGATATAAGACCGCGCCCCGTAAAATCTGGAGAGTTGACGGGGAATTGGCCGGGTACGTGAAGCAAGCCGGCAATTTGGTTGAAATATTAATACGGAATGCTGGTCACATGGCTCCGCTGGATCAGCCCAAGTGGGTATACGAGATGATTAACCATTTGACTCATTACACTCGTTAAAGTTGGTATTTACATTTTGTACATAGAGTTTTTTACGATAAAGGTAGCAAACTTATTTTAGATTAGTTTATGTGCATGTCAAAAATGTATATATTTATACTTTGTATGAATAAATTATCATGTTTTTAAGAATTGTGAATATTTGAACAAGTGTTTTATCTCATATTATTTTTAAGCATCCAAATTTTGTATTTTTGTTCGTGATCAGCGTACATTAACTCATTTTACTCAAAATGGCAATGTTCACATAACATTTTGCTGTTAACAAACATAAGCAAAGCATCACTGAATCGCGCAACACTATGAATTTTCAACACTGGAACGCGTAATACACCCCGCTTGCCGCTTTGCCCAAAAGCCATTATTATTTTTCGAGTTTCATCCACAGCCACAGTGCAAATTACGGCCGCACGTTAATAAATTATAATATCTAACAATAACAATGCTAAAATAAAGTTAAAACTTAGCTTTATACGTTCATCAACTTAATTTAAGTGTTAAAGTAGTTCTAAAGTGTCCTTTAAGTCGCCAAAAAATAAAATACAAATAGGAGTCTCAAGGCACGCAACTAAAAAGAGGTCGTCTTCGCTGTTCTTGTTATTGTCATAATCGCCTGCTGCTGTTGTTATTTTGTTGTCAGCAATAAATTGAAATACAATCACACACATTGGGCATTTCGCCTGCACGCCTAATGTACGTTCTGATTGCTGCATTTGCCCTGCTGCATACGAACTAGGAATACGAAAATACATTCGCCAGCGCGAAGAAGCAGAAGTGGAGACACTAAGGTGAGTGAGCGCGGCATCAATACAAATGTAAAATTGAAACTGTTATGCCATATGTGACAGTGGCGTCGGCTAAGGGGGTCGCGCTGCACAGTTCAATGCACGATGAACGAGCGAGCCCAAGAATTGGTAACTGTCAAGAACCTGATTATATCAAATGGCAAATGCAGCTGCATTTTATCGAATTTCAGCAGCAAAACAACCACAAAAAATTGAGAACTAGAAAAGTGCAACAAGACATGTAGCTATCCATATAAGTTGAGAGGGTAAAACTCTTAATGCACATTTCTGCTTTTGATGCTTTCGGTGGTTGCTTGCCGTGCGCCCCTTTTGCCGCCTGTCCGAGTCCCAAGCCCGCCGAGCCTGTCACAATTTGATTTAGGCATGTCTGTCGCCTGCTCGATCCGATCGTCGCCTCGCTGCGCTGGCTGCATTCAAATGCAGTTTTTGTACATTTTGCATGTTACTAAAAGTACACGCACAATTGCAAGACAAAGAGACACCATTTGTGTGCATTGTGTAGCCAATAAAAATATTTGCATTGTTAACGCTTTACCCAATTGCAGCTGCACAACGCCAACAACAACAACAACAACATCAGCAGCAGCAGCAGCAGCAGAAGTAGCGCAGTCTGGAGCATCATGCAGCATCATGTGCATGCAGCGAGAACAGCGCCACATTTGCGCGCGGCACATCATCACGGTCACATTGCGCTGCCACCGCATCCCGGCATGGAGCCACATCTGGGCACACTGGCGGCAGCGGCGTCCCTAGCCACACAGCAGCAGCAGCAACAGGCGCCGCCGCCACCGCAACGTGATCACGGACGGTAAGCGATAGACGACAGTTGGACACAATATGTTGGCTTGTTACGGGTTATATGGGTACGGTTAGCCCCTCTTGGCGTCGTGTCTAGGCTCTGCTCTTCTGTACGTTGCGGCAATTATGTTAATTCCTGTCACTGACAATCGCCTGTGAGACTCATCATCCCATTTTCTCAACTCATAAATTATAATTTCAGTGGCTCTTTGTTCTTTAGCGCTCAGCATGACTTCCGCTCGATAACGGGTTTGCAGCAGCAGCAGCAACAACAACAACAACAACAACAACAGCTACAACAACAACATCAGCAGCAGCGGCTGCAATTATCCTTGACGTTCGTTAGGATCGCACTGCGGCCAGTTTCTCTTTTTCTTTTTGCCTTTTTTTTTGTTTTGCCTTCGCTCAGTTTTGTCGCCTTTTGTGCGATCAGATGTTTTCCTACGCTACAGCTCCAAAGCAAAACTGTTCGCCCTAGCCGACCCGTCAGTTGCTCTGCAGTCGCGTTTCGCCTCGCCTCGCAATCGCCTCGCATTGAGCGCGTTCTGAATTCTACATTGATTTCGCAAAAGCATGTAAACGATTTGTGTCAGGTGATGATGCAAGCATTTCCACTAACTAAATGCTCAATTTCTGCATTACAAAGTGAGCACATGCACAGGAAATTCCCTTCAGGAAGAACGTGCAACGATTTCTAAGCCAACAAGTAAAAGCCCGCCTTTGGCTCAATAATTTTATGTTCTCAGCATTGTTTATTATTATATTTAAATGCTGCGAAAGATACGAAAGTTAACCGTTTTATAACTGTGTGTAGATATGTGAAGCCCTTAAAAAGTTTAAATATCAACTACAATAATATAAAGTGAAAATTCAAGGACCTGCATTAGCTCCTGATCTTGCTGATGAAATTCAAGCAGTAAGAAGACGTTTAGTTAGATTTGTGTTTCATATTATCAATTTTGTAATTGTCTTTGATAATGAAAGGAAATGATAAATGAATGTCTGCACAAAGCGATCCTATCCTATCCTAATTCCCATCCAAGTTCAAGATATTCTTGCATTATTTCCTGGTTTTGTGTTCTTTAAGACGGAGAATTCCCTTCAAATGTGTTGATTGAAAAATTTTGAATAATTTGAATTTGAAAATTTACCAAGTCGAGAATTATTTGCTTGCAGAGAATTATTTACTTGCCTAATTTCACAATATTGCTTATGCATCTGCATCCTTTCATCCACTTCAGTTGTATGCAAATTGAGCTACTTGAACTCTTCAGTTGAACAGCTTTGTTTAATTTTAACTCTCTGACAATTTTTTTTAATAGATTTAGCGATTGCAAATTAACTCGCCGAGTGGCTAGCACATGCATTTGTTGGTCAACACGCGGTCATCCACAGATTTGCAAGGATTTCCGAGCTTAAACCCGGTTGTGTCCTCCCTCTTTCCCCCCCCAAATTACCGTCGCTCTCTCTGTCTCTCCATCTATCTATGGTTAGGTGCGTCTCAATTGAAGCTGACAGTTGGCGAAAAATGACACGATGCGCAAGAGAATGCGGCTTTTGTGCTTTGTTAGGGATCAGAAATCCCTATTGTTCGTGCTTTACCGCTGTTGTCTGTCGCTGTAACAAAAACAACAACAACAACAACAGCAACAACAATGGGGCAGGGCGCAAAGGGTGAACCTCTATTGCCTCTGACCGTGCTTTTTTTGTGTTTTGTTATTTTTGTTTTCGATGGCCACTCAATATGCCATTTTATGTGCTTAGCCCCGGCAGTCAAAGCTTATCATTTCATGGCATTCCACGAGACTTTAGGGTTTTCTAATTCCAATACTGAATTTGTGTTCAGTTGTATAATATAATATAAATTAGCTTGGATTCGTGGACTCTGGCGGAATAAGGATTGAGAGTTGAGAAAGTTTCTTATTTGTGAGATTCCATAAAATAAATAAATAGAAACAGAAAAATTGGCATTTCATAGTATGTTTTTCTATAGAAGCCTATGCATTTTTGAGCATTTTTCAACGATCGTAGCTCATCTGAAAAGTTGAATTTCTTGCTGAAATTTTGTATAGATTTGGAGTACGCTGAATGCTCTCCGCCAAGCCAGACACCTGTGCTTATTATGTAGTAAAGCTGCGTTAGGCAAACTAAATTAGTAAATAGGCTTTAGTAATCAGATTAGAGCAGTATAAATTGTTTAGAAAATCTTTTTGATAACAAAATTATGGTCAACAATTAATGCATATCGTTAACAAAAAGTTTAGCACAGGCTGTTGCTCTTATTAAAAACCGTTCAATTTGACTTACACTTGCAGCCTGAATCATCATCATCATCAACAACAGCAACATCACCCGCAGCAGCAGCAGCAGCATCCACAATCGAATGCCGCGTATCACAACAACAGCAGCAACAACGACAACAACAGCAACAATAACAATCAAATGCAAAAGATACGACAGCAACATCAGCATCTCAACAGCAACAGCAATGGCCATTTAACAAAATGTAATCAAGCGCCGCCACCACCACCGCAGGCCTACAATCATCTGGCTGGGAATCCGGCAGCGCTCAGTTACGGCCAGCTGCCACATCATATGACACATCTGGGCAGCTATGCGGCACAGCCGCCGCCGCCAGCGGTGCTAAGCGGCGGCAAGCAGCAGCATTACTATCTGGGCAGTGGCAAGCCTTCCAAGTACAACAACAACAACAACAACAACAACAGCGGAAGCAGCGGCAGCTATTCGCACGCATCCAAGACCATTCTACAGAACACCTACCGTCACGCCAAGAGTAATGGCCAATTGCCTGTCGCAGCTACGGAGGCGCCTGTAGTTGCCGGAGCGACAGCAGCAACAGCAGCTGCCGCAGCGGAACATGCTCTGCCCAGCACATTGCGGATTTTGGGCAACTGCAGGAGCAGCAATGGCGATAGCATAGTCATTGCCAGCAATGAAGCGTCTGAGCTGCCGCCTGCCGAGTCGCCTGATAACTGTGAGCCAGTGAAAGAGGCAACGTTAACGCAGGACGAGGACTGCACAAGCAGCGCAGAGCAATTGGATGCCGCCGGCACGCTGTCCAATGAAGATGGCAGCGCGGCGCGCGGCTCCAAAGACAAGACGCCCATGTGTCTGGTCAACGAGTTGGCCAGGTACAATAAGGTGAGCCAATAAAATGTTTCTTGCTACATCATATATAGATTAAATTCGTCTCATGCCGCCACAGATCACACATCAATATCGCTTGACGGGCGAGCGCGGTCCGGCGCATTGCAAGACCTTTACTGTTACTTTGAAGCTGGGCGAGGAGGAGTATTCAGCAGATGGTTTCAAAATCAAGAAGGCGCAACATTTGGCCGCTTCGAAGGCCATCGAAGAGACCAAATACAAGCATCCGCCGCCAAAGATACGTCGAAACGAAGAGGGCAGCTCAACGCGCACGCACATTACGCCCACCGTTGAGCTAAATGCGCTGGCCATGAAGCTGGGCCAGCGCACCTACTATCTGCTGGATCCAACACAGATGCCGCCTGCAGATGCCATGCTGCCTCCTGAATATGCTACACCGTTGCTGCCAACACCAGCGGCTGGCTTGCCGCCGCCACCGCCGCCGCCTTATGCATTGCGCCGCAATGCCAATGGTGGTTATGTATTGCCGCCTCCGACCATGCATCCGCATCATCATGTGGCGATACAGACACAGCGCGGCATCTATGGTCATCAGCGACCGTTTGCGCCGAAATATCAATCGCGGTATGCACTGGCGCCAGCGCTGGGACCGCATATGCTGGCCGGACCGCATGGACCCTATGCGGCCGCACTGCCCGTCACACCCAGCAAGATAACCTTGTTTGTGGGCAAGCAAAAGTTCGTGGGTGTTGGACGCACACTGCAGCAGGCCAAACACGATGCGGCGGCACGTGCGCTGCAGGTGCTCAAGACGCAGTCGAATAGCTCAGCCGACGAGGCGCTGGACGACTCTATGGATGAGGGTGACAAGAAGTCGCCCATATCGCAGGTGCATGAGATTGGCATCAAGCGCAACATGACGGTGCATTTCAAGGTGCTGCGCGAGGAGGGACCAGCGCACATGAAGAACTTTATCACTGCGTGCATTGTCGGTTCGATTGTGACCGAGGGTGAGGGCAATGGCAAGAAGCTGTCCAAGAAACGTGCTGCCGAAAAGATGCTATCCGAGCTGCAGAAATTGCCGCCTCTCACGCCGACCAAACAGACACCTATGAAGCGCATCAAAGTGAAGACGCCTGGCAAAGGTAGTGCATCGGCAGCTGTCACAGGCATGTCAGCTGCCGGCACCGTCACGCCGCTGGGCAAGCCGGAGCGACGCAAGCGTCTCAGTGCGCCTTTGAAGGAGAAGACCATTTTGGAGCTAGATGATGCCGAGAATCCCATCACGAAACTCATTCAATTACAGCAAACGCGCAAGGAAAAGGAGCCCATCTTCGAGCTAATTGCCAAGAACGGCAACGAGACGTCCAGGCGGCGTGAGTTCGTCATGGAGGTATCCGCCAGCGGCAGCATAGCGCGCGGCACTGGTAACAGCAAAAAGCTGGCCAAACGCAATGCAGCACAGGGTGAGTTAAAGTTTTGCCATATCATTGATTCGTTCTAATTGCATTCAATTTCCTCCAGCCCTGCTCGAACTGCTGGAAACAACGGAGCAAAACGGCGGCGACTCGGAACATGCCTTGGAACACAATTTGCCTGCTGCTACAGCTGTGTCTTTAGGCGGGCTAACTATAGAGTCAACTGGCGGACTCGATGTGCCTATGGTCTCGACGCCTGCAGGTCCTGTGCCCGGTATTTTAATACTGCGTCAAAATAAAAAACGTAAGTGGGAATCCATTAAGGCGACCAAAAGTGGCATATAAAACTTTTTTTTTTGTATTTCAATAGCAGCGAAGAAAAAGGATGCGGGGGTTAAAGCCAATGTAGAGCCAGCTAAGGAAAAGGAAGCCAAAAAAGAAGCTATAATCACAGCAACCGTAACAGAGGGAAAAAGTAGCCGCAACAGCAGCAGCAACAACGAGTCCAATGCTCATGAGGCGGCCAACGAGAGCAGCCTAAACACCTCCACGGGCAGCAACACAAGCGGCGTCAGCAGTAACAGTAGCAACGCGCCCGCCAGCAGTAGCGGCAACAATGCCAGTGGCGGTGGTGATGGTAGCAGCAGCAGTGCTGGTGGCGGCGGTGCTAGTGGTGGCGGCGGTAGCGGCGGCGGTGGTGGTGTGCATATGAAAGAACAGCTGATATATCTCAGTAAATTGTTGGATTTCGAGGTGAGTGGCTGGCATATAAATACAATTAGATCAAAGCTAATTGCTTTTCAAATGGCAGGTCAACTTTTCGGACTATCCCAAGGGTAATCACAATGAGTTTCTTACGATAGTCACGCTCTCCACAACACCGCCGCAGATCTGTCATGGCGTTGGCAAAAGCTGTGAGGAGTCGCAAAATGCCGCGGCGCGCAATGCTCTAAAAATTTTAAGCGAACTGGGCCTAAACAATGCCAAGAAATAATAAGCCAAACTAATTAACTGCAATTTATATATATTTTTTTGTTGTTGTGCATTGCAAAAGTAAATGAAAAAGCAAAAAACACCCGTCCACAAATCAAACTAAAGAAAAAAGAAGAAAGAAAGAAAGAAATAATGAAAACTAGAAGCTGTGTGCAAATTGAAAATATTCAAGAAACAATGCAAGAAACAGTAATTTTTGAAATAGCAAATTATTAGTTAATACCTATTTATTTATTTATGTGCAAGTGTGCGCAATGTGCATTGTTGATTTGCATTTTTGTGTTAACTGCTGTTATTATTTTAATTTATTTGTTGTTGAAATTAATTATTGAAATGAATTGAACAGAGCCCAGAGCCAAGTCAACTAAAACAAAAATATAAACATAAGCAATAGAATAAATTAAAAGCCTTATGGCAGCAAGAGAAAAGTTGAAAAATGTTGCAGTATGTTGCACACATTCTACACAATCACATACTATATTCATATACATATATATATATATCTATATGTATGCATATGTATATATATGTATATATATAGATAAATATAAATATATATGTCTATGTATATTTAGATCGAGCACTCATTAGGCACTTAAATTAAATTGATGAACAAATTATAAACACGTAACTAATAATATTTATTAGCTGCATGCGGCTGCCAAGACGCTTATGCAACGCTTTCAAAAAATAAATACAAAAATTTGTCTGCCACATGTTGCATTTGCCTCACAAATGTGAAATTAGAACACAACAAAATTGAAGCCTGCACACGCTTGTGAAATTTTTAATTTATTTTTTCAAAGCCATGAAAGCCAATCATCGGAGCATAAGAACTGCTGCTGCTGCTTGTGGTCAAATGTATGATGGAACTCGTCGAATAATGAATCTATATAATAATACTATAATTAATATATCTATTAATAAGCAACAATAATTACAACGATCAAGCAACAAATTGTGTGCAGCTAAACAAATTTCCAGCCAACATTTCCATTCGCATATTGTGCGGTTGCAAAGTGAATGTTTGAAATTTGTTGTAGCCCCAACGGCTCCAGCTGCCACAATTTGTGGCAAGTGTATTTGCTTTGAATTGTGGCAAGTGCCCAGTTGGGTCGCATATCAATCGGCTTGTGGCTTATAATGAAGAAAATACAATTTACATAATCGTTAATAATTATATTTAAATGTTTAAAAACCATTTTGTAAATGTTCAGTTTTTTGGCATACACCCCCAACTAAAAAACTGAGCATCTTTATGAATAACGCGTTGTTTAAATTCCACTCCCAGTTTGATTTTTGTTAATCTATGTTTTAAAACACATACACACACACACACTCGGAAATCTTAACTTTATTACACACACACACACACACATATATGTATTTACACTTGCATGTTATGAAATTTGTTGTACAATAGTTTTTAATTGCTTTGCCCAGTAAACAGCACAGATTAAGCGTTAAGTTGCATTATGTCAAATTGTATTTTGTGTAAACAATGTTCGTCGCAACAATGTGCATGATTGCTTTAACTTAAAAGAACAAAACCTAATTTATAAATATTAAAAAGAAAGAAAACATTAAAAGAAAATTACGTACGAAATTCAACTAAAGAAAAGCCTTACGTATAAGCGAATTATATAAACACTTTTAAAAACACATCCAGTATTAAAACACACACATACATAAATAAATATCTTTGATATACACACATAAAAAAAATATATATTTAATATAAAAAAAGAATAATTATAAAATACCTTAAATCGTGCACATTGTCTGCATGCGTCGCCCCACTTCCTCAACTCCTCCTAACTAAACTACCCATTCAAAAGGTTCATTTTGTTAGAAGATTTTGCAAAACAAAAGAACAATAAATGTTACGCATCAAATTAATTGAATACACTTTGCAAAATCTTCACGAAATTAATAAGAAGTAATATATAATGTTGCATTATAATCGTTTATAAAGAAGGAAACCAACCAATCTGTTCATTAAGACAAGACAAAGGAACAAAAACAAAACGAAAAAAAAAATATAGTTGTGACTACAGCTAAATACACACATTTATTAGATTTTAAGCAACAAAAACAATCACAATAATAAGATGCAGAATCGGAAGAAGAAGCAGCAACAACAAAAAGTGTTAGTATTTAAACAAAAGTCTTGTCTTTCGTGAGAAAACAAATACCTAAAAACTATATGACTATGTAAAATGTAATACTTGTAATAAACATTCAAATAAAGTTGAATACTGCCTTTGATTTGATAAACTGACAGCTTTTCAATTTCAGCTTGATTTTTTTTTCTTTCTACTTTTGAGTGCTTAGCTTGTATTTATGGCGCCTGTTAATATCAACAATAAAAATGCGTTATGTAATTTGTCATAAAAATTTGTGAAAATTATGTCTAAATTCACCATAAAACTGGTGACAAGCTTCGAAGGCGGTGCTTGTGCGGGAGAGGTGATGTAGGGGGGGGGGGGGGGGGGGCACATATTAACGCTTGTTAATTTGACAACATTCCTTATATGTTTATTGGGTGTGATATAGATCATGGTGTGTATCTGGCTGCAATGACTAATAAATGAGGAAATTTTCAAAGTTAAAATAACGTGGGCATATACAGTCTGATATGCGTGGGATATAGCTCTTTGAATTCGTAGGAATCAGGAGTAGCGAATATCAATCAAATGCTTCCATTCTATATTAGCATCACAATATTTGGGCAATAATTTCAATTTCTACACGAGATCGAAGAGACATATCTTTAAAAGAAGTGCCTAAATTTAAAGGGTTTAGGAATCAACAACTGATCTCTTCTCTATTGGTTTATATTGATGCCTTTTGGTTTTGGGTCTCGAGCAGCAATGTTAAAGCTTAAATGCTATGAATAAAATATATGGTAGTTCTTGGTGATTGGCATATCATATTTAGCAACAATTGGTTCCATGTCCGATTGCAGCAATAATATTATACTTAGTATCTATAAGTAGGCGCGTCGGTTGCAGCGCTTTGTTTCACTTTCTCCGCTGGCATTTGGCTAGCGATTGAAATACAAGTTTTTAGTGGCAAATGCATAATAAATACATAAAATTAAATAAATGCCTTTGACTTGCACACTTGGGCGCTGGCCTGTAACGGGCCAAGCGTGCTCCAGCTTCCAATTTCAGATGCGCGGACCCGGCAAAATCAAAGCGTTGCCCACATTTGCATATGCATCCGAGCTGGAGATGCGCAGCCGGCGCAATGTGTGTCCATTTCTACGTTTGTGTGTGTGTGTGTGTGTGCGTGTGTGTGTTGATTAATTTATGGCGCTGATAATAATCCGACGGCGGCAACGCCAGCTACAGCGTGTGATTATGAAATTTGTGTTTTTGCCAAAAGAAATCAATAATACGGCGGAGGAGTGAAAGATGTGAAAGACGTGAAAGAGCCCAGGCCAGATGCGATACGAGATGAGAAATTAACATGTGTTTGTCAGCGCCGGCAAAGACATTAGTAACACACACACACACACACACATATATATATATATATATATATAGGTGTATCTGTGTGTCGCACTGTGATGTAATAGGCATTTGATAGCATGCTAGGGAATTGGGTTTCGGATTTCGGGCTTTTTGGGTTTTTGGAATTTTTTGTCGGAAATGAACGTTCAACTCGGCTTGTAGAGTAATTCAAAATCAAATGCTAAGTATTAGCTTAAACCAAATTTTTGTTGTTATTGCTGATTGTTACTGACTTATATAATTTCTTAATTATTTATACCAAATGTTAAACGTTCGTTTCGGGCGCTGCCCAAAAATTTTTATGCCAAATGGGAATTTATTTTTTGTTTTTTTTTTTTTTTTTTTTGTAGCACATGCTGCTGCCATTGAGTCGAATGAAAGTGAAACTCTTTTTCTTCTATTAATTTTTTTTTGTCTTTCGATTATAACATTTGCCGATGCGGGCTGCCTTTGACTTTGGCTAATTTTGCTTTTGATTTATCTACCTGTCTGGCTCGAAGTTAGTTTGAATTTGATATTTGACAAGCATTTAGAAGCAAACGCCCATCCGTCTGTGTCAGGCTGTGGGAATCCGTCTGTGATAGGCATATTTGTTGAAAGCCAAATAAATGCATGGATAGCTAACATTAAGATTTATAATTCGATTTACAATTTGGCTGCAGTTTTCTTTTGAATTAGATTGGATACGGTTTTTGGGGCAAAATTATAATCATTGTGAAAACCTGAAATTTCTTTCAATCATGCTTAATGAGCTGCCAGTTTTTTCCACTTCCTTTTGAGAGATGCGTGTGCGGCACCAGAATATGAATTATTTATCTCCATAGCATGGCCAGTAGCATTGTTGGATGTGTCCACATTTGCATATTTGTTGCCGCTCGTGTGCTTCAATTTGGCTAATGATCGAATAGTTGTTTTTATGTTCGGAATGTCTTGAGCGACCCTCGTTTTTATCTTTCTACATGTTTCCTAAATGCCAGCTGCTGCTTCTTTTCATGTTACAGCAAAAAAAACGGCTATTTCTTAAAGGTCAACTTATAAAAAACTGAAATAAAATCATTTTCGTTGAATAAAGCTAGGCTTGTTTAATTAATAGATTATTTTTAAATTGTAGTTTGTTATAGAACAATTATGAGACATGTGCAGGAAGCGAAGCAGGAAAATTAAACATAAATAAAGTAATTTAGGCGCCCGCATTCGCATAATTAAGAATTAGCCGCAGGTGAAAAGTGAACAAAATATAAATGAATTATGCCACAAATACCTTGTTGCCGCGACTCAAGTGCCAACAATTGGATTACTTCGAACTGAAGTACAGTAAACACTTCAGAATGGACCCAAGCAAATGATGGGGCTCATTTAACATATAAAGCCGAACAATTGTAGAATTTTGCCAAATCTTTTTTCCCGCTGCAAAATCAACAATATGATTAATTTATATTGAACATGATATAGAAAAAAATAAATATAAATTTGTTACAAGTGCTTGCATAATGCTTATTTATATATCAATTTGCGTTGAGAGACAGAAATTAAGGTATTTTGCATAAAAACGAATGTCTGGCCATAATTATGTGTCGAACTGACGGATGCCAGGCAAAATATTAATAAGAAACTCATTTATTTTAAGGCAGCACGTGATTGCTTCTATTTGAATAAAATGACCTGTAAAGTGTGTAAAGCGGGTATCCTAGAGGCAGGGTTTGTTTGACAGGCTAGATGTTAATACATTTGAGTGATTTTTACTTATCTAGCTTTAAACATGGCATAAATGCCAAGATCAGAAAAAATAATCTATTAAGATATTTGACAACAATTTTCACAATTTTATTTTATCCCTGAAGAGGGTTTAATGGATATATATCCAAAATCAGCATCAACAGATGACTTGATAAAGCCATGTCCGCTCGTCTGTTTCTTTGCAAACTTTTCTCTCAGTTCTTATATATATGCAAAATCTTATTAAAATTGGACCACTATATCATAGAGCTGGCATAGGAACGATCAGTCGAAAAATAACTAAAACATACCTTTAATTAAATAACAGATCGCAAATAATCCAAATTGAATTATTCTTATAAGCAAATATTTTATATAGAAACTGTCAAAATCAATGAAATGAAAATAAATACAGGGCATCAGACTGTCTCATATTTATATACAGCTTGGCTACTTCTTATTTTGTCTGGTACAAATTTATATGCTATTTCAGCGGATTTGTCAATAAAGCTAGTAGAAGAAGAATAATGACAAATAAGCCAATAAAAGAAAACATATGAAGTGTCATGTTTATAGATAAGGCACACAAAAGACCTGCACAAAGCTAAGCCAAAAGCAGAATAAAAATTAAAATTAAAATAAAATAAAATAAATAAATAAACACAATGGCCGAATGGCCATAAGCATGGTAATGAGAACTGAAGTGTGCATAATTAAATTGCGCCCACTGTTAAATTAATGACACCAAAGAATGCAACTTAATAATAGGATTTATTTCGCAAGTCAAGCACCGGAGCTCAAGATGTATCAAGTTCTGTAATCGATGTTGTTGTCACTGAACTATTCCTTATCAGCTGCGAGACGCTCCAGCTCCTCGGCATAATGGACAGGCGTCCAGTTGCCAAAGAGCGCATCGCCCAGGGCAATATACGCCTTGTACAGTGCATCATAATTCACATTTGGCTTATCCTCCAGCTCTTCGTCGTGCGTGGCTGCTGCAGGTTGCAAGCTGAAGCACACGAGTGCTGCCACAGCAACAAGCAGCCAAAGGAAAGGTAGACGCAACATGCTGGCCACAATGCTAGAACTGTTCTTATTTTTTTAATTGAAGGTGTTGCTGCTTTTATAGGCCAGCTGCGTGCTATTTAGCATGTTGCCACAGTTGGTGGCAGCAACGGCAGCTTGTTTGGTCAGCGCAAACAACAAATAGTGGACATGGCAAATATTGTGTGCGAGCCGCTTGTTTAACAGCTCGGCCAAAAGTGGATCAGGGGCATTAGTTAAATGCTTAAATAGCAAATTTAATGCTTGTTTAACGCTGGCCGAGGAGGAAGAACCACAAATTTGCATTCGATATGCGTGAATTTGCTATTGGCATCACATGACAAACCGCCAACGCCACCTACTTCATTAATCAAATTGGCCAAAAAGCCAACGAGCCATAAGCCAATGCTTCCAACGCTTCCAACGGGCCAAAAGCCACACACAGCCACACTTCAAGTGCAGAGCTCAGTTTAAGTTGCTTTAATTGATCGCACGAGCTTTGTTTAATTATAAAAAGTTAGTTTTTTTCTTCTTTTCAGATTTGGGTCACACGCTGCTCAAAACGCATTTGAGATGCGGAAATTGTCAGCGCCGGCTTTGGCAGACCCTCCAAGCCCACCAACACCTCCTCCTTCTCCTCTCCACAAAGCCTTGAAAGCAAAGCGCGCTTAATAAATTATTTATATATACTTGTATAGTATCTTTAAGCAATATGCTGGGCAAAGCGCTTATGTGTCGCATTCTTCATTTTGGCCAAGTCGTGAGAAAGATGCTCCGCAATGAAAATGAAAGTCAACTGTTGCCCTTTTCCCACAAGCCAAAGGGCCCAACATGCATCTCGGATATGTTGCAGCCGCAGCCGCAGCAGGTTGTCACCGGTTTCCAATCGGAGTAGCAGCAACAGCAACAACAACAAGCTCCTCATCATCGGCTCATATAATACGCAATCGATTGTTTTTTTTTTGCTGTCTCGCTTTGATTTTGGTGTCTTCTTCTTTTACGCATATTATAAGACTGTTTCGGGTGCTGCGGCTGCTGCCAAATATTTGGATATCTTTGGCTTTTCAGTTCAGTTCAGTTCAAGTTCGCGTCTCGAGCGGTTAAGTTTCGAGTTGTCGCGTCAACCTGCCAAACGCTTTAGCTGCAGGATATTCCAGGATATTCCGCTAGCAGGATAATGCTTTTGTGCTGCTTCGGTTATTGTGAAGTTGCTTACTAAAAAAAGAGTGTTTCAAATTAACGAACAACACAAAAACATCAATAAATAAATAATAAGAAAAACGTGTTTTCTATAAACTTAAGGTAATTGAATTTGTGCACGGAAAATTGTTAAACAAATGCTTAAACAAATAGTAATTGTTTATAAAAAATACTGTGAATTGTGCTTTAACCTGACGCAGACAAATCATATAGGACTCGAATATATTGTTATACTGTTTATTTATTTGAAAGCCAAATAGAGTTTATATGGATTACAAATCTAGCAAAAGAGAATATGTGAAGCATAAAAGAAAGATATTACTGTAAAGATTTTTTTTTAAATAATAATATAAAATAAATAATGAATCCTCTATATATCTGAATAAATAGATAATATTGGAAATAAACTACATATCTAGTCTAATTTGTTAAATTCAAAAAATTTAAATTTTAAAAAATTAATGAGTTACTTAAGAGAGCTTGGGAAGAAAAACGAAAAAATACACCAACAATTCTAAAAATATCTGGGATCTTAAGAATTTATATGTAACACAAAAAGAGAACTGGAATACTTGGCAGATATTTTTTGGGATTTGCCAAGACAGTTTCTAATTGGATACGATTTACTTAAATTAATATATTTTGCGGCTTTCGTCTTACCCTTACGCGGATTTCGTGATGCGCTCTCACATAATATCATAAGACAGGAATTTCTGTACTGACAGGACTATTTAACAATCCCACAAAATGGAGAGACTCGCTATGATTCTTTATTCCCATTCCCAAACACATTCAAATTCTTTGTTGTACTCCTATACCACGCCAATTTTTTTTATGCTTGCCTTTTAAAAAATGTGATTAATGTAGATATCTTCCGATTTCTGAGTCAGCCGCAATGAAAACAATTTGAATCCACATAAAGTCCAAAGCATTTATCATGCAGGTAAAATGCAAACCAAAAATGTATAGAACCAATTTGTCTGCTCAAACTCAAGACTATCGATCAACATGGAGCGCAAGGCTGCCAAAATGGATTAGATATTTATCTTATGAATATATCACACCTTATATAGGCAAGCCTTAAGCTGGTTCAATGTAGTTTTAAACGCTGCTAATCTTCCATAATAACTAAATATTGCCAACAGCTACTCAGATTCTCGTTGTAAGCAATGCGGATATAGAATCAATGGATCCCAAATACGAGATGCGATCAGCTCAGTCTGAAGTGGGGCACATTTTCAGCTTGTGTTACGCACTCAACTGGACGTCAGTTGACCAAAATGACAGCCACTTGGGGTACGTTCAAGTTGCCGGTACTGAATGTGTGAGAAAAGTCCCAAAATAAATATATAGCTAGCTGGCTGTAAGCATGTTTGTTTAAGATTGATGTCATACACAAGATTTGAAGTTAAATTCTGAGCAGATCCTTTTTGCTTATACACTTTGAGCGCGAACAAATTCCAATTGAATGACTCTGAAGTGGGTTTCTCTCGTCTGTTTGAGTGTTTGTTTGAATTAGATTGCTATAATTAAATTCTAGACTAAAGCGAAACCAGTTTCGAGGCAAATCATTTAAGATTTATGGTTGCTATTCGTTAAAACGTGCTGCTAATTTATTGAAAAGAATGATTAGCCATTTAAGGAAAACTCAATTTATAGAGCTCGCCTTATAATAATTACAATGCGGAATCAATGCGCTTACAAACAAATCAAAAGAGAAGAAAACGTTTTAATTTGTCCGCTTTTGATTTGAGCCTCAAACAAAAATCATCCAAAGGCAATTGAATGGGTTTAGCCATTCACTTTAAAGGTCGCCGTACCAAAGTTGTTATCTATCTAAAATATTTTCGGGCTACATATTTGTATCTTCTTCTTCGCCAGCTTCTGTCAGTCGCGTCTGTTTTTTTTTTTTTTTTCGTTTTTGATGGATCATTGAAAACAATGAGAAGTAAAACAAAATACCAACATGAAATATGATGAAGATGATGCGGATAAATTGGTATGAAGAGGGGAATGCTTCCTCATTGTCAGCGGGCATTGTTTTTATGGCTCCAACTGCTCTTGATAATGACCCTGAATCTGTCGAATCCGTATATTGTTACACTTTGCTCTTGGACTTGTTCGTCAATTGTATTGCATTTGCATAATGTGCTTGTAATATAGTCGTTTTTTTTTCTCAAAATTATTTCCAATCAGCCGAAATGAGCTGTGCCTTTGGTATTTGGGCAGTCATTAAAATACAATTAGACGTAGCTTAGATAGTCATTATAGAAATTATATATAGCAACAGGTGAGCTTACAGTTTATTGACATACAGGTTACTGACTTACAATATCTTCAATGTTTATTTATTTTATCTTAAATACGCGCCATAAATTGTCACATTAAGCGCACGCCTACAAGAAAAACTATATAAACGCTTGTTTGTTCACAAATTAGTTTTGCATAGCTTTATATTGAATAATTTTTACATCATCGGTTGAAATCAAGGCAGCTTATATAATCGATTAAGCTATCAAAAGTTTGCCGCGAACAGTTAAAATTGCAAATATAATTAAATGCTGAGTTTTATTTTTTATTTTCTGTGATTCATTTTCTATGGCTGTTTTGTTGCATCAAACAAAGACAACAATTTATCGCTCTTTAACTTGGCAAATTGTGGCCAACTACTGTTGTTTATTATATTTACCCAAATATACCGAATGCATGTATATATATATATATATATATTATTCATGCATTCAATTCAGTTCTTCAATTTATTTCGCGCACTTCATATGACATGATCTTCACAATGGACCACTGTGCGGCGCACACAAGTGCCCGCATTGCCTGTTGGGCTTTTTATTTTTTAATTGCTTTGGCTTCCTTACACAACAATCCATACAATTGCAGGCAATTTTCATGGCAAAACTTTAGGCTGACTGCACAAATAGAAAACATGTCAAGTGTGCAGTTGGCAAGTTCGTTGCCTAAGTCTTTTGTTTTCACCCTATTCAATTTAAACAAAAAACAAACAAAAAATTATAAAGTGCAATACACAGAATACAGACAAACGAGGCACTCATATATCACTCGACAAATATATATATATATATATATAGATTTAATGAGCTGTCAGTAATTTGACCTCAAACACTCAACTTGAAAGATCAAATATTTGACTTGCCGTACGATATGTCTTTGAAGACCAATTAATTTGTCGTATTCTAATATGTGTTTGATCATTTGAATAATCAGTTTAGTTCTATGATTAATGAAATGTTAGTAAATGGATTTGCTTTTAACGATTTTAGTTGTGCTAAAATAAAAAAAAAACGTGACGACTTTTGATAAACTAAAAATTTGAGTTGAAAGCGATACGCAATAAACTTTGAACTATGATGAGACATTTTTGAATAAATGCAAAACAGCATTTGCAGAAATAAAAAAGCTATATACTTTTTATATTCATTTAATTTATTTTAAAATAAACAATGATACAAATCGATAACTGCTGCTGGATTTAATTCGGAGACCTCCCGCCCAGATGCCTAATTCACGCGGGCTCAGTAGATTAAACTGTGTGTTGACTGAAAGTTATGAAAATAGCCCATTTGCTTTATACTTGAGCTGTATTTTTAAGCTAAAAGCTTAAGCTAGTAAAATTGAAGTAAGGTAAAAAACTGTTGACAATATGCCGAATGCGATATGCCTCGTTTTAATTAGCCAAAAAAATTATTGTTAAAAATGTAGATCAAACGGAAATTGTGAATGTCGATTGAAGGTCAACACACAAGTATGGAGTGTGGCTTCCTTTTATTATGGTGCTAGTTATACATAGATAAGCTAAGCTAAGCATATATATGCCAGATGACAGGCATATATGGCCAACTGACGAATCGAATGTGACTGTTTGCCGGGACCCACGCAATTGCCGCTTAATGTGGCCGCGAACAGTGCCGTTAAATAGTCTATGCACGAGTGTTAAATGGCGTTTGTTTTGATTAAATAAATCAGCATGGAACACCTCTAATGCTACGCCTTATATGGTTACGTCTATGCCGGAGAGCCGGGCACGCCTCAATGCGATTGTGGCTTATGCTAATTAGGCGGCTCGCGAGCTCTTACGTCGCTTTATATTCAAATGTTTTCAACAACATGTTCGTTTTAATCAATGAATGTTTATCGATTCATAATTTATCAATCAGCCTAATGCATATTGGTTTGTAAGCTTTGCCATTTACATATTATTTGACATTTGCTTACAGCATGCCCCGGTTACGATTACTTGCCCCAGTTGGCCCACATTTTCTGGTGCTGCTGCTGGCGGTGCTTGGTGGCGCCCGCGGTCAGGGCAGCTTTGAGGATGCGGACAAGGCTAATGAGTACACGGATCAGCAGTTCGATTTGCGACACACAATACCCGGCGAGCCGGGCGTCGACTATCCCATACTGAGCGAGGTGCCCAAGACGAGCTTTGTGTGCAGGGGTCGACACGAAGGTAAGTCCTGATTCCAGTCCAGTAGAGCATCATCAGTTCTTATTGTATTACTTGACAGGCTACTATGCGGATGTGGAGAGTCGCTGTCAGGCGTTTCGCATCTGCGCACATACCGCACGCTCCGCACAGGGCTTTGGCTTCCTCTGTCCGAATGGCACCGTCTTTAGCCAACAGAAGTTTGTCTGCGACTGGTATCGCAATGTGGACTGCGATCAATCGGAGCGCTACTATGACATGAATCGCGAGAGCAGCGTGGGCAGCACACAGGAAATGATGGAACGTGTGCGCCAAATGATGGAGTATCCCACCAAGACCATATCGCAGGCTCTGCAGGAGCAGGAGCATACCCAAGGCCAGACTCAGACTCAGGCTCAGCGCGACCATCAGGCACATGCACATCAAACGCTGAGCAAGGATTTGAGCAATGTTAGTGGTGTCTTATCGCAACCAGGCGCAGTCAGCAATGGCAATCTTGTAGTGCGTGGCGAGGACATCAAAAGCGAAGCTTTGCCGGCACCAGCAACAGCAGCAACAGTAGTTGATGGCGATGGCGAGGACATCTATGTGAACAGCCTGGGTGAGCTGTCCTCCGATCCGGGCATAGAGTTTGACCACACAAATGCGCACATCATTGCCGAATATCCCCGGGAGTATCACTACCAGAAGCAGAAGAACTTTGCGGAGCGCGTCAATGCGGGCCTTGAGCTGCTGAGCGACAACTCAGCCGCATCCAATGAGCAAATGGCGCCCGATTACATTAAACAAATACGCAATACTAAGGAGGAGGCCACCCAGCTGGATCTTGTATCCAATATCAATAATTTGCTGGAGGAGGTGTCCATCGATCTGGACCCCAGCGTCTCGGGCTACCAGTCGATGAGTCCGCAGAAGGTTAAGCAACCATTTCGATTCCTAAGTCGCGGATTCGCCATGCAAACGAACGAAAAGGATGGCGGCAAAGGCGCCTCATCCTATGTGTACAATAAACCCAAACAGACGCCGGGCACAGTCAGATTTACGGTAAGTTCTTAGGTTTGCCATATCTCTAAAGTTGCTTATCTATAGCTCTATATATATCTATGCCACAATTTGATTTTTTATTTATTTCCAAAGCCAAACCGGCTCCAAATCGAACTTTTAGCAGTCCTGAATTCCAATTAATGTTTCTAGTTACCCAAGAAACAGCTAAGAGAAATTCCGCAAAAGGCTTACTTAAACAAAAAATAGATCTTTTGGTCCAACTATTGCATTTATCCATTTTTGATAGATGCCAATTTTTTGGGCAAAGATCAATTTTAGCCCTTGCAATTTTATATGGCTTGCAATATTTTCAGTACATCGGGCAATTGTGCATTATATATATTAATTTCTTTTTTATTTGCATATATCTATGGATCTTTATGTCTCTATCTTTGTTTACTCTTTAATCTCATTTAAAAATCTCCTGAAAGTCTCTCTCTATTTTTCTATATCTCTCTTTCTCTCTCTCTCTCTCTCTCTCTCTCTCTCTCTCTCTCTCTCTGTCTCTCTCTTTTGCTAATCTATCTATTGCCTACAACATTGACTTCACCCACACATCTTTAACCACACAATACCATGAACCACAAATCGATATTAAAGCCCAATGAGTTACCATTTGAAGCTGCCAAAGACACTGAACATAAGCTCAAATTTAATAATGATAAAACCACAAGCAGCAGCACAACCACAACCACAACCACGAGCACAACTACTGAAGCGCCCATTGCCGATGCAATTGAAGAATTGTTTATAGCGCCCACATTGCCGCCAGCGTTTGCTGAAGAGGATACAACCACAACTGCCACATTTGGTAGCACAATTGAGCCAGCTCCGCTTGGCTACGGCAGCGAGCTGCCCGTCATAGAATCCATTGGCCAGGCCGCTGCGCTGACGGCTAGTCTGACGCTAAGCGAAGATCTGCAGCAGGAGCAGGCACCGCTGAGTGCCGCGGCAGCTGATAAAACGGATGTGGATCTGCGGGCGGAGAAGCTGCTGCTGGCGGGCGTCAAGCTGACCTCGCACGCTGAGGAGACAGCGCTGCGCACCAATAAACTGACGCTGGGCAGGCCAGCAACGAGCACCACCACCACCACAATGAAACCGACAACCACGCCTGGGATGAGCACCTCCACAGAAACCGTCACGGAGATAAGCAGCACGCAGGAGCGCATACGCAGCTATCGACGCTTTGTGCAGAAACGCGTGGGTGGCTCGGGCAGCGCACTGCGACGCCAATTGCCGCCGGGGCGCAGCACCACACCGAGAACCACCAAAGCCACCAGCACACCACGCTCAACCACGCCCACACGCAGCTATTCGGAACGCCTGGCGGCAAGTCGTTTGCGCCTCTCGCGCTTATCGCTGGCCACCAAGCCCACCACAGCTAAGATAACCACAGCAGCAACCACCAGCAGCAGCAGCAGCAGCACAGCTGCAACCACAACAAGCAGCACAACAAGCACCACCAGCACCACGGAGTCACCTTTGTCCTATGTGCGCGCTGGTGCCGATCAGGGTCCCAATAAAAAGATCTCTGTGCGCGACATTGAGCGGGAAACGGGCCAGCAGCGCGCAAGCTGGGACAGCGTGCAGAGCAATTTGCAACGTTTCCAAGTGCAGCGCGGTAATCGCGTCTACACGCCAGTAACACGCGCCACCTCCAGCCCCACCACACCCACCAGCAGCATCAGCAGAGCCAGCACCACCAGCTTGACTTCCAGACCCACTGTCGCCGCCAGCGTACAACAGCGTGGACGCAATCGTCATGCCACCTACAGAACACAGGCACCACAGCAGCGCACACGCGGCACCACCACACCGCGTAGCACCACTAGCACACAACGCACCACAGTGGCCGCATTGTCTACGCTGTCGCAACAAATCTCTGCCTTGGCCGCCGGCTACAGTTACGCACCACCACTCATACACAATAATGCACCCACAACCGCTCAAACTGTCATTGTGAGCGGCACACAACCACAAGCACAACCACAAGCACAAACACAACCACCAACACAACAGCAATTACAGCTGACACAAATCACTTCAAGCCTTAATCCTTCCTCTGCTTTCCTGCCCTTTGATAAGCTAACGCGTGCCATTGTTGATGACTCCATTTTACAGAACTTTAAGAGCAACCACGCCTATAGAGGCGCTGCCAATGGCTACAGCAGCAACACCCAGCAGCAGCAACAGCAGCGCGTTACGAAGCCGACAACAAGCCACAGCTATCATTATCCCAAGCCTACAGCAACAGCAGCAACGGCAACAGCAGCACCAGGTAAGCACAGCAGCAACATACATCTGAAATTGTTGCCACTATTCATATGTATTCATATTATATTACAGCTCTGGCTAGTCTACGCATACCACAACGCACGCAGCAGCAACAGCTACCGCAGTTGGTGCTGCCCACTCAGCCGGGCATTGTTATTGCTCGTGCAGAGGGACAACGCATTGCACCCAGCTCCGCCAATACCATCATCTCCTCGCTGGTCAATCAGCCACAAACAAAGACTCCTCAGTCCAACTCCTATGTGGCGCTCAACGATTTTATCAACAATAAATTTGGCAGCAGCAGCAACACTGCAGGTCCCACCACAATACAGCAGCAGCAACAGCAACATTCGCTTGTTCCTCAGCAGCAGCCGCAACAGTCCCATCAACTGCAGCTATTGCAGCAACAGCAACATCAGCGTCCGCCACAGCAACAGCAGCAGCAACTTGAACAACATCAGCAACAGCAACATAAGCAGCAGCAACATCAACGTCAGCCACTTAAACAGCAACAACAGCAGCTGAGCTACATCACCCAGCGCTATCAACAGCCAGCACAACAGCAGCAACATATTCAAACACTTCAGCAACAGCAGCAATATCAGCCACAACAGCAGCAGCAACAACGTCAGCAGCAACAACATGAGCAGCAACAACAGCAACATCAACAACAGCAACCTCATCAGCAGCAGCAACATCATCAGCAGCAGCAACGCCAGCAATCACAAGCCGCACACCAAATTAGTTACCACTCACAATACCAGCAACAGCCTTATCAACAGACGCAACAGTTGCAACACTTTCAGCAGCAACAACAACAATCTGACCGTCCCTCCATACAGTCCATACAACAGCCCTATCTGACGCCCAACATTTTTGTGCCCTATCAGCAACAGCAACAACATTTGCCCTTATTTCCACCGCTGGCAGCAGCAGCCGCACCTAGCTTGGCCCAAACGACGCGTGTGGCTAACGGACCCGGTCAGCAGTTGGATCATTTGAATGTGCCACTGCCGGCACTGGCCAATGGCTTGATACCAGCGCCAACATTGCAGGTGGCACAAAAACGCAGCGATGTCAAAGTCGGCCAGCTGCAGCTGAGCAGCAGCAGCAAGATAATGGATCAGGGTCAGGAGATGTCCTTTTATGCGGGCCGTACATCCTATGAAGTGCCACAGAGCAGCGTGGGCCGTTTGCCTAATGATATAACGCAGCAGCGAAGACTGCGCCAGCGACGCTACTAAGGATGAGGATGAGCAGCTCCTCCTGCTGCGGACGACGTGAGATTACTACTACAAAAGCTAAGTTATTATTTATGTGCTACGATAATTTAGGCTTAACTTAATGCAATTGTAAATTATATATATATATATATATATATTTATATATATATAATATTCTATTGAATTTGCTATATTTATTTAATAAATAAAACGACGAAATTTGTTGAAAACGATTCTTTGGTTGTTGTTGTTGATTTTTTTATGCAGTTTCATGGTGAGATTAAGTTTTATTGTTTAAAGTGTTTAGAATTGTTTCTTATTATTAATGAATACAAATACAATACAATGTTTTACTTTTACATGTATCTAATATTATTATTATTATTGATTTATATTGTTTTACAATATTCCATTTTGAATAGTTTTCGAATGTTGTTTGTTTCTTTGCATTTTTTATTTTTTAGCCTTTCGATATTGCCTTTGCTTTTAATTGGTGTCAAACATTTTCTATTTGTGGTTATATGCTTAGCCTAATTAATGCTGTGCACAATGCATATATATTCATCATCATCATCATTATAATTATTATCATTATAAATAGAATTAAACGTTATGGCATGGAGTATTCGTTTTATACATACAAAAATTGAACTAAATTATCAATTGGCATATGCATAAAGTAAAAAGATTAGCATGAACAAGAATAAAATAAACAATCTGTGAGGTGCTCGATCAGCAAAAGGATATGCGCAGTAAAACGTAAAACAGGCTATGTAAAGTATTTGCATTGTTAACATAACTACAACTAAATTACCTATTTAATAAGTACTATATATATACGTGTATACATATATATACATATATGTATATATATATATATATATATATATATATAAATAATAATAATTTAAATAATAGATAAACTAAAAATATATATATTTATATATTAATATATATATAGAATTTATAAACTACCATTAAAAACTGTCGCCCACAGCGTCTACATAAAATGTACAGCAATCTTTTTACACAAGTTTTAAGTTTTAAAAGGATTATAGAACACAAACAGCAACAGGATCAACAGCAGGCGCAGCAGCAGACAAGGTCAAGAGGATCAATAGCAGCTGCTGCCTGCATCCAGTCTCGTTTCAGCCAGATTATATACAAAACAGGCATTTGCCCGGCTTAAGTAAGTATTTTTATGATGCAGTCGCTCGCATCGCTTTATATATCCGAGGTATTAGCGTGCGCTCAACGCTTGACATCTAGGCGACATTTCTGCACGCGCACGCGTACTCAGGGAAGCGAATTGATGTTCAGTGTGGGCGGTGGCTCCACTACGCTAGCTGGTATGGTTGCAGCCACCGCTACTGTTGTTGCTGCTGCTGCAGTAGCTGATGCTGTCGTTGCGATTGCCTCTAGCGGCACATGCAGCTGACAATAGACTTTGCGTTCCTGCTCGCTCAGGCTCCAGCTGGCGACACGGGCGCAGGGCACATGCGCCGCTGCCTTGCAGGTGCGTTGAAAACAGCACACATTGGCGCCGGGCTGCGCACAGTGAACGCACTGATACCGCGTACTGTCCCAGACGGCCGCATCCAGGCCATTCACATGGGCGCCAATCAGTTGTATATCATTGGCCCAGACGGCGCAATCTTCATGCAGCCAAATCTCGTAGCAATGCTCGGAAGTCTTCGACATGCCCCGAAACGTTTCAACGAACTTGGCCTCGTGGCTGCAGTCGAGCGGATCCTGCGAAGAGCATTGCGATTCGTTCGGATCGTCACTGCAGGAGTAGACGCTGTCGTGGGTTTGCTTGCGTTTGCGTTTGTGCTACATGAGAATTGCAAAAAGAAATTGAATAGAAATAAGCTCTCAGTAGTAACTACAGCTAACCCGTTGCTTACCATGGTTATCTTGGGCGCCTGCATAATGTTCGCCAGCGTTGCGGGCACCACGGGCAGATTGCGCTCCTGCATCTTGACCATGTCGGCGCGCTTGCGTTTGCTCACAAATAATCCATCGATGTCGTGCACTCCCGCTGGCACCTGCACCGCTGTTCGATACTCCTCACAGTCTATGGAAACCAGATAGGGCCCGAAGAGATCACCTAGTCCGAGCTTGTGCGGTCCGCACTTGCAAAACACGCATATCCAACTGGAGTCGGTGGTGTCCGCATCATAGCGATTGCTCAACGTTGAGCTGTGCATGCCGCGCAGATTTTTGCGTTCATGGGGCGCTTTTGTGTGCTTCTTCTTGGTCTGCTTTTCGTTGACATCTTCGGCGCTGTGCGTATTCTTAATGCTAATGCTGCCATCGGGCTTGATCAGTATGAATGGGGACTTAAACCTGAGATCTGGAGCTGCACCATTGTTGGTCTCACGATTGGGCGCCGGTGTGCTGTCCTCGTCGGTGCTGAAAATTTTGCGTGCGCCGCCGGCGAAACCTTTTTTGCCAACGTTCTGCTTGGCGCCGTTCTTGCCCGTTGGCTTTTTGCCCTTGGGCGCATTCTTCTTGTTTTTTTTCTTGTTGTTGACATTTCCATTGCTCGCCTTGGGTGCCAGCGTTTTGGCCACAGCCGCTTCGCTGAGCTTGCGTGCCGCCAGCGCAGCTGCTGCCGCGGCTGAGGTGCTCGGCTTGTCATCATCGCTGTCCAGCTGCACGATTTCCGTTTCCGGTGGCGTCGCTACCGCCGTCTGCTTCTTGCGCACTGGCGTTTTCTTCGGCTTCAGCTGCTCTTCTATGGTGAAGCGCAGCAGCGAAGGATCCATGCCCATAGAAAGTCGCCGCGGCGGCAGACAACGCGTCGGCGGCGTTCGCGGTGTCAATTTGACGGTCGGCGGAGTTGCTGCCGTTGCCGGCGATGGGGTGTGTTCGGTGTGCTCCTTGGCTTGCGACTCTGCTGTCGGCGTCGGGCTGTGTATTGGACTGGGCAGCGTCGATTTCATGGCCGCCTTGGTTGCCATGGGCCTCAATTCAGGCGTCGGCGTGGGCGTGCTCGCAGCTGGTGGTGTGCTAGCAACAGGTTTTTCCTGCACCACAGCTTTGACCTGTGCACCACTGTCTAAAGCTAATTGTGCGCTAAGGTCATGCTCTGCACGGACTACTTTTGCTACGCTCGGCGGCTCATTTGCTTGCTCGGCGGGTTCGTCTTCAATACCCGCAAACATTTTCTCCAGCTTATCCTCCACCTCGTTAAAATGGCAGGGCTCTGTCGTGGGGGCAGCTGCCGTTGCATTTGTTGTTGCTGTTGCTGCTACTGCGGGCGATTGTTTTCGAGCCGGCGACTCCACTTCATCCTCATCATCGTGTACGCTTACCGCGGGCTTAGCATCAATGTCACCCTGCTCTACCAGCGCTGGGGATGCGGGCGTGTCTGTGATGGCCTTATTATTGTCCAGCTGCTGCTGCTGTTGCTGTTGCTCCTGTTGCTCTTTGACTGGCGGCGCCTCACTGGTCCGACTGCTATGGCTGCTGTGCGTGGCCGCACTGGAACTGCTCGAGCTACTGCTGCTGCTATTGCTCTGTGGACTTGGCGGCTGCACGAGTGCCTCCTTAGCCGCTTTTGTCGATGGCAACTGCTGGTCCTGCTCCTGCTCCTGCAGCTCATCCTCAACCTGGCGACGCTGCTGCTGTTGTTGTTCTGTGAGATTGCGTTGGAGCAGCGCCTGTCGCTGCTTTTTAGTCTTGGGATTGTCCGTGTCGTTGTACACTGTGGAGCTATTGCTATTGTCAGTTGCAGCCGCAACTGGCGGCGACACTGATCGTCCATTTTCCTGTGGCAGCTCGGGCTGCTGCTGCTCCTTCAAAGAGAATGGCTGAAACTCGTGCACATCGCCGCCATTCTTGGGCGAGTGCTTGGGACTGCAGCTGTTGCTGAGCGGGCTCGGGGTGCGCTGCCTTTTTACATTGTCGCTGGGCGTCAGACGCATGACCTGGCTGGCTTTGCGCTTTCGCCGCTTCCGACTATTGCTGCTGTTACTATTGGACTCCAGCGATTCCTCATTGGAGGTTGTCATGTACGGCGATTCGGGCGCCTCGGTTAGCTGCTTGTCCTCGGCAACTGGCGGCGGCAGCGGCGCATTGTTACTGCGATATGAGGCCGTTGTGGACAGATCGGTTATGATCGTTTGCGACTCTTCTTGTGCTGCCTGCTGTTGCTGCTCTTCTGACTTGTGCTTAGACAGCATATCGAGATTCGTTAATTGCGTATTGCGGGAATGCATTTGTGACGTTTGCTGCGGCGGCGCTGGCTGTTGCTGCTGCTGCAGTAGCGGTTGCTGCCGCTGCTGAAATTGTGCGCTCGTCATGTGAGACAGCGGCGGTGGTGGTGGTGGTGCTAGATGCTGGTTATGGTGCGTTGCAGGCGGTGCATAATGCAAATGCTGCTGCTGTTGCTCCTGCTGCATGTGCTGCGTGGGCTGCTGTTGCTGCTGCTGCTGTTGTGGCGCATAGCTGCCTACGCTTGCGTGCAGCTGATGGTGCAAATGCAGTTGATTGTAGTCCAGCGGCGACTGAGGCGTTGGTGGCGTCTGCGGGCCATTATATTTTGGTGGCGTCATGTTATATGGCGGCGGTTGCTGCTGCTGTTGTTGCTGATGATAGTTGCGCAGCGGCGAGGCTGTGGGTGCAAGGAAGATAATTAAAAGTTCTCTTCAGGCATATTGTAAGCACTTACGCTTTTTGGCGTGCTGCTGCTGTTGCATGTTGTGCGTGGCCAGTTTGCCTGTGGCGCCCGTATAACCGCAGTCTTTACCGCTCAGCTCGGCGCTCTTCTGCATGCTCTTCAGTTGCGTCAGCTTAAAGTTTTCGTCACGATGCTGCATATAATGGGGTGGCGGCCCATTGTTGTTGCTGCTGCTGTTGTTGTTGGCGTTGCTGCCATTGCCACTGCCACTGTTGCTGCCGCTGCTGTTGTTGTTGTGATTGTTATTGTTGGGCGGGGTACTTGGCGGGGGCGGCAACAGCGACTCGCAATCGGCCGGGCCAGCGCCATTTGCATTCAAATATTTGCTGGCAGCGCTGGCAGGCGATGTCGATGTTGGCAAGCCCGGCAGATGTCCTTGTTGCACGCCTGCTGGCGTATTTGTGGTCAAATTGTGTCTGCGAATGGAGGAAGCAAGATTTGATTTAATTTCTATAGTCCTTAAGCTTTGAGATAATTTTTCGTTACGGCTCCATAAAATAGATACTAAAGATATACTTTAATATATCTTTCCTGAGCAATATTTGTGTCTGGAAATGCCAATTCTTGCTTACATCGTTGGATAATTGGGTGGTGCATGCAAATGCGACTGTTGTTGTTGTTGCTGCTGCTGCTGCTGCTGTTGTTGTTGTTGTTGTTGTGCTTGCTGCTGCTGTTGTTGGCCAGTTTTATTCAGCGTAGGCGCAGCGCTGCGACTTGATTGCAGCGACAAATCCATGGAGTCAAAGGGCAATGTTCCAGTATATGGCGGCGCCAGCAACGGATTCATTTGATGATGATGGTCCAGCTGGAAGGCAAGGCATTTGGATTAGATATGTACAACAACCAAAAGTAGGCAAACAAAACGCAAAACGATTGGAGAAGCAAATACAAAAGTGCTTTAAAGAGAGAGCGAGAGAAAGACGGAGGGAAAAGCGGGGAATGTCAGATTTGGGAGTTGGCTACGGGTGGCGCTTGGAAGGAGTTTTGGTTGTGGTGCATGCGTTGGATTGGATTTTGTCGAAACGAGCGACGAACGAAACTACGCTAATTACGTTTTTATGATTGGCCGACATAAAATTGTAAATGGCATCTGGCGGCGGCGGTGGTGGCGGCTGGGCGGACGCTTGCCAGGCCAGCGGGGAGCGGACCAGCGACCGTTCGTTGGACATGTGCGCCAATTGCGGTTGTCGCGGTATATACGAAGGTATCTGCAGAGATGAGGATGCAGCCGTTCAGCCGTTAGCTTCAGTTCGGTGGGACGGTCTGGCGGCCAGGACAACAGATACTTACTTGCAGGGGATTCCATGAGGGATTCTGTGCCGCTTGACTCAAATGACCGTGCGGATGATTGTTGTTGGACATGATGCTATGCTATGCTAATGTTCAACTAACTAAGCGGAGACTGCATTGGTATCATCTAAATGTTTCGAAGGATTCGAAGAATTTTGATTGCCGACAATTAAAGGGCGGCCGTCATGTGACACACACAGAGAACCAGAGGGTGCCGGTAAAAGGGAAAACACTATAACCGTGCGCCGGAAGGATCACAGGACTCTCACGCAGACTATAACAACAGTTCTGACTTATTATTTATAGTTAAAACATAACTCGATTTGGTTAATAGGGGGAAAACACTCTGACACTGTCTATAGGGCCATACGGCACAAGGTGTTATGTCCTGTCGCCCATTTGTTTACTGTGCCTGCCGCTGTGTCACTCGCACGACGGCCATTTATCGCAAGGAGTTATCTAATTATTGCAGCTGACTCTGAATTCGAGTATAAACAAATTTCGCACGCACTTTTTTCACACCAACCACACGACCGCATCCACCCACTTGCAAAAGTTTTCAGCGAGCGGTCCTTGCGCGATAATGCAGACAGTCGATAAATTATCGACAGTTGTCGACAGCGTTGTTTTGCATGCCTGTCCCTGGTATTTGGTGCTGCTGCTGCTGGGCGCTACGCGAGTAACACGCGGTCTTTGTATCAATGAATGTTGGTTGCCTTATGGATTTTTGCAGTCGCATTTGCCGTTTATTTGGTAATTAAATGTGGTTAGAAGTATGTAACTGGCAGGGCATAGGTGAGTATTAGTCAGGAGTTTTGCTGATGATTAGCACTGTGTTTGCACAATACCTCAATCTTGCCTTCTCACTCACTCAAGTGCAGCGCATTGCAGCTTCGTTGCGACTGTTTTTGCGAATTACTTGTTTTGGGCCGAAAAAGCAGGCTAAGACCAAGCCTTGCCAAATAGCACAAACACACACACTTTATTGCCAACACATTGCAACGTTTGTTTTATTAAATTATCCTTTATTTTACAAATGCCGCAGTTGTTTTATGCGATTTTACGCGTATTTCAATTTGTTTAAAACAAAATGTAATTTACGTGTGCTTCTGCTTCTGTGTTATGAGTATGTGTGTATGAGTGTGCGTGTGTGTTTCTTAGTTCATGGTTGGAGTTTAAGAACCACAGTACTGGTTCCACTTCAAGTGCAACATTGCGGAACTCACACTCCTCACATAGAGCAAATAGGTAAAATATAAATATATGTGTAAATTATTGGTATTTGCATTTTAAAACAATTATCTTTACTTAACTTTAATGCAAATTTAGTTGCATTTTATTTTTATATTGAGCAGCAAGCACAATGCGACCGATACGACGTTCGCGGGTAAAGCAATCAGCTTTTGTCACACAGCTGCCGATTTGAGCGATTATGCAGCCCTGCGTTGCCCAGCACATTGAATTGCATATGCACATTGCAGTTTACTCCCCGGCTTTTCAAGTTTATCTTAAAAAAAGCGGGAAAGCGCAAAGTAAGATCGTAATATAAACAAATACATATCACAATATGAATGCAAATAAACGTGGTGCATTAATTGTATTCGAAGGATGCGATCGTTGCGGAAAAACAACACAAAACCGGCAACTGTGTAAGTAAAAACAGTCGCAATTCTAAATTTGCACGTGCAAATCATCATTGCTTACTTAATGTAATTAAATGCAATTATTTGTTATGTTGTGATATCTCACGTCGTCTTGTACATATGTTGTGATCTTGAGAAATACTCAAGAATTGTAAATATTTCATAGGGCCACTTTCGCAGCGACCGCCTGGGTCTATTGTGCCTCTCCCTAGTAATTCGAATTATGGCTGCAGTCCAGTACAGTCCAGTTCTAATATGTGCAAATTATATGATCTTTGGCTTTATAGGTTGCATTTTGTAAGGTCTGAGAAGTTGACTACCTGCATGTCGCGTATCTTATCTTATACCTATGCTTATCGTAAATGCAAGGTCTGAACGTATCCTCAACAATATTTATTTTGTACACTCAGCGAGTTTCTTATTAAAGTCACCTTTGAGTCTATTGTTTATCAATGGCTTGTTTCGAGGGCAGTTACTCTAATGCACGAACTCTCAGTTTCACTTGACCCGATACTAGTGACTCGCATGTGCAGGTCAATTCACACTTAATTCTATAGCATTTGGGAATACCAACTTCTGCTCTTTGATAAGATCCCCATGAAGGGCTCAATCTGCATTTGGACTCTTCTTCATTTAGCGGGTACTGTGCCTGCAGCAACAATCTGTTTTTCACAACCAGCTTGATATGGACGTGCTGTTGCAATGGCCAAAACAGGTCGTCTTAGCCAGCAAGCCTCTGGAAATGGAAAACATGATGCACCTTTATATTCATCACGCACCATACGCCCCACATTCCACAATTGAATGCTCTACAGCTCTCATGCATTTCGCTTAAAGATTTCAATTATATATGTACTTATGGAAAATCTTCCACCTAATAACAGTCGAACTGCTGACGGGTAAAGGAGTGGATACAATGCAAACCAATTTTCCGGATCGGTCCACGGCCATTGGCAATGTTATTAATCACTACTTGCAAAATAACCAGGAGCTATCCGATGAAGTTATCCATTTGCTGTTCTCAGCAAATCGCTGGGAGCGCATGAACAGCATTAAGAAGGATCTGCTGGCCGGTACGACGGTAATTTGCGATCGCTATGCCTACTCTGGCGTGGCCTACTCTGTGGCCAAGGGACTTGATTTTAACTGGTGCTGGGCACCTGAAATTGGCCTGTTGAAGCCCGATGCTGTATTCTATCTAAAGGCCACGCCCGATGAGCTTACAACACGTGGCAATTACGGCGAGGAGCGGTTTGTAATTGAACGGATTATATGAAGGCACAGCTTTTTAATGGATCTCTTGTCCTGTTGCAGCTATGAAAAATTGGACTTCCAGCGTAAAGTGGGCCAGATATTTGATCGCTTCAGCGAAAAGGATTCCAGCTACTGGCATACATTCGAAGCAAGCAAATCGCAGCAGGAGCTGCATGCCCAAATTGCAATTGTAGCGGAAAAAATTGTAATGCAATCTGCAGAGAAACCACTTGGCAAGCTTGCATAGGGCAATAGCAATGGATTTCCATTGATTTACGCATTGCAGACGCTTCACATTTAATTTACGATGTGTATAATAGATTTTAGGTTGGCGCATTGATTAATGCATTTGTAAAATGGTGAAAAAATAACAATCCCAATGGGATTATCAATTGGAATTTGCCGTTAACCGGCTTAAATATAAGCCCAAAGTTGTATTATTGCTTGTTACTGTTTAAGCCCGTTGATTTATGACCAAGATAGGTTTGCCTATCGTTTATATTCAACAAAGCTGAAAAGCCCAAAAACAAAGTTCGTTTCGGTTTGTGAAACCGAAACTACTAAATTATATATCTGAAAATTAAGTTTTATGGAACATTTTTTTGTTTTCCAAGATACCTTAACCATTCTCGACACAAACTATTTGTCCAGTGCTTTTTGATACAGATCACTATGACCATTATGAAATGCTTGGGTCTGAGGGGGTCTCAAATCTTTGGTGTGCCAAAGGTAGCCCATTTTCCTCGTTTCATACCTTGAACTAACTCAGCAATTCCGAGCTCCACTATTCTCCTAAGAGCATTAAATCTTTGGTGTGTTGAAGATAGCCGCTCTTATTGATACTACTTTTGTGACGTATTAATATTTGAAGTAATAACTAAATGAATTTGTATTATTTCCAAAAGAAAAAATGGCTGGGGATCAAATCATTTATTAAAAATCCATGGTATCTTTTAGGTTTAGCTGAAGAAAATTGGAATTCGCTCCGGTTCAAACCCGGAGCTTTAGTTTTCTGTTTATCGAGGGACTGTTTGTTGCTCCATTTGTATTTATTTTCACTTAAGTATACAATTTTTTTTTGTTTTTGTTTACAATTATATGAATAAAGAGTGTATTAAGGCTAAACCACAGCAAGAAAAAATAATTTACGTTCTCAACTTAGTTGCTAAATGATCCAAACTTTTGATGTGCTACCCATTGTGCTTGGAACTTGGTCCCCAAAATGCGTGTTAAAGTACTTCAATTTAATTCAATTCATAGTTATCATAGTCCAACACATCCGATCGCCGGCTGCGTGCAGCTCCAGCACCAGACTTGGGTGCACGGGAGCGCAGCGTCAGTTGGCGATAGCCCACGCCGGGTGCATAATCAATGTTGCCGCCTGAAACGCGTGCCTGAAGATTGTTCAAACTGGTCCTGAAACGCTTCTGTGCCTGGTGATAGGAGGCAATGTCGCCATAGCTATGCTTCGGCCACATGCACTCACAGCCCGAGGGCACTGTGCGTGTCTCCGACTCCCAGCAGCCGCTGCCCTCGTTCAAGCGTATCAGATGTATGGTGCGATTGAGCTGAATGCACGAGAAACCAGTAGCCGAGCAGATCTACGGGAATATCGTAATTGTCATAAATATTTTATAAATTTAAATTAATGATTAATATTAAATAAGGGAATTAACTATAGTATGCAGCTCTAACGTTTCTATATAATGTCTCTATTCTTATATCATTTTTGTATCGTCAGAAAGCTGTCAGCAATAAGTTTTCACAGGACATTTTGCATAGTGGATAGTTCCTCAATAACATAGAGCTGCTATATGATACTGATTGGTCTACAGGTAGGTTTTTTTTAATAAAAAACTTGATTCTTTTTTTAAGTTATTTGTGAAAGAGTTGTTAAATTGGTTTACTCGTTTCATATGCGCAAATCTCCTTAAAATCGGACTACCATAACACTATCTATATAAGAAATCGGCTAATATATGTATTTATAGCATTCATTCATTCACTCGATCATTTTAAGAAGATTTCCTAGTCGGTATTAAAGTAACTTCGTTTTGGTTAATAGGTGTTTGGGTGTCTGACTTCCACCTGCCCAACTCAAATCAAAAGAATCCGAGCTGACATTTGCACTATATAAATGAAGTATGTTTTCTGGTTCTCTTGCATTTGAGTAATAATAATAATAATAATATTAAGTATACGCACCTCACGCTTCTCACCGGCACGCTCGTTGAGAAGGGCGCGCAGCAGCGGCAGCTCGTTGCTGCGATAGTTGTAGTCGTAGTTGTGCAGCCTGGCCGGCAACGGGGCATAGTTGTTGGCACAGGTAACCTCCACATAGTGATTGGGCCGATATTCGCCATTGTCCAGCTTAACGGTAACACGCTTGGTGGGGCACAGCGATTGATAGGTGACCTGAAAGAGTTGTCAAGAGTGTGATTTACCCTGCGTGGACATGATCCCCTGCTTAACTTACGCCCTCGCTGCCGCTGTGCTGTGCCGCAGCTGCAGCTGCAGCCGCTGCTGCTGCTGCTGCTGCTGGTGGCATGACGCTGCGCACACGCCGCTTGCGCACATTTTGTATGCCATAGGGCAGCTGGGGGCTCAACTCGTCCGCATCTTTGGTGGTGACCACGGCATAGTCCTCCTCGCCCTCAACATCCACGCTGTCGTCTGTTTCGCTTGGTATTGCATCATTCTCGTAACGCTCCGGCTGACCTGCATGCCTACAAATTGCATATGCATAGAAAATTTAAGCTTTGGCAATGAATTAGCGACGGTCGCGCAGCTGCCGGAAACGGCTGCGGCCGTCCGTAAAATTCGCTCAAAAATATTATAGAAAGAAAGAAAAAATGTCGCTTTTGACGTTTGGCGTTAGATAGTTTTTTTATTTTATTCTTCAGCTTTTCATACCCCGCATCCATTTTAAATGTGAAAAAGGGGTATCATGCCTTGTACTAATCTTCGAAGCTAAAGTATTCACATATACTTTTGATCGAATCGACGAGTTAAGACGATATAGACTTGACCGTATGTCTGTCTGTCCGTCCAGCTATGAAAGCTGGAATTTAATGGGTTTATCATTATTTAATCGTGAATTTCGTATGAAGGGGTATCTGCCAGCTGTACTACCGGCTAAGTTACTTTTACTTTTTTTTTTTTTGTTTGCACTTCGGCAACAAAAGCGCATCATTTTGCATTCAACTGCAGCAAATGCCAATGCATTTTTTAGCTTTCATTTCGCGGCGTTTGCCATCCGCGTGCGCGCTTTGTCTGCCCGTCGCCTCCCCTTCTGCAGCAGTGGGAGCTGGGTGGAGGTGTGGCATAGACAAAGCTTCCATCGTAACGCGACTGTCGTTGGCTGCCAGCGGATTTCCTTTTTCGTTGTCAATGCTTTGCGCTGAGCGGCAAACCCAACAGCGACACCACCAAACCAACCCGAACCAGCCCGACCCACCCACATAGCCAACTGCAACCACTCACCGCAGGGGGCATTTTTGAAGCGCACTTCAGGCAAACACAGCGGCTTTGATAGTTTTGTCGCAAAGTTTGCGAAAATGTTTAGAAATAAATGGTTTTGAATTTGTTGCCTTGGCCGCTGCCTTCAATAATGCCCAGCGGGTTGGGGGCGGGGGCGTGGCCACAAAGCAAAGCAGCAAAAAAATAAAAAAATATATTTTAATCTTAAGCTACAAACAAAATATAAAAAAACAACTAAAATGTTGCATTTGTTTGTTTGCATTTATATTCAAATTGAGTTGCGGAAATTTTCAAATAGTTTTTGCGGCTACGAACTGCTCGGCTAAACTGGAAGGGTCTGTATTTGATTATTTTTCACTAAAATTATAAATGCAAGTCTGTATTCTAATTTTGTGCAGTGGAGAATTGATAGGGATATAAATAGTTTTCAGCAAAAATCAATCCCCCTCTGTGGAAATTGCTGTAGGCAAAGTATTTAGTTTCGATTACTATCTATTCGAAATATAAGTAAAAATGTGGTCTCTAGGGTGGGTTTAAATTTCATACGGGCGGGAAATGGTCCCATAAGTAATACCTTAAATGTGAACTAACGAACTTGGCCCGCGCAAAGCCGGGCTATTCACGTGGATCTAACATTAAAAGACTCAAATTTCATACGGGCGGGAAATGATCCAAAAAGAAATACACAAAATATGAAGCAAGTAATTTGGCCCGCGCAATGCCGGCTAATTTACGTTGCTTTTATAATACATTTACTAAACTTGAAAAGCTATCAAAATCTTTTGTTCTGGCATTTGCAACGATATGTGAAATGCTTTTCAATAAATTCTCTGCTCAGGGTATTCAACTGGCGGCTTGGCGGGCGGGGTGAATTTTGTGCATTGCACAGTCTTTTGTCTTCGTCAATCTTTTGTTGGTTGATTTCAGCTTGGCGCCGCATTACGTAATCTTTTGGCATGGCCATCGCATGCGCCTGATCCTGCTAAGCCTGATCTACCCAAAAAAATAAGAGAAAAGAAAAACTAAAGAGAGAAAGCCAGCGCGAATCAGCTTAAATGTTGGCATCAATGCTGAAGGTCTCGGCTTTAGTTGATATGCAGAGCAAAGCTGGGGCAAATCCAGCAGCTGACTTGGGGCTTAGTTATTGTCAAGCTGCTATCATATTTGGGCCACATTGAGGAATGTGCCACGGTCGGCTGCAGTTGCATGCAACGTGACAAAAAATTGCTGCTGCTAATTTTCGTTTGTTTTCCGAGAGGGCGTTAAAGTGGGATTTGCAACATACCTGGACAGGTAGCTGCTACGGCTGCGACGTTCCAGCGGCAAATGGGTCTCTTCTCTTTCAAATCCAGCTTCAGCTTGCCACAGATTGTTGTCGTCGATGTCGTTGTCATTCTTGTTGTCGTTGTCGTTGTAGTTGTTATTGTTGTTGTTGTTGTTGTTGTTGTTGTTATTGTTTCTGTTTCTGTGCTGGGCAGCAAACATGCCTACACCTTGCACAGCCGCATTTAAGTCAGACAATTGCGAAAGGAAGTCATTCCGAGCTGCCTCGGGATCATCAACAAATTGTTGTTGCTGCTGTTGCTGTTGCTGTTGCTGCTGGCGTTGGTGTTCCTGCTGTAGCTCCTGGGAATTTGCGTATAGTTTTTGCTGCGGCGGCTGCCATTTGGCTGTGGCTTTGTTGTAGTTATAGTTGTCATTGTTGTCGTTCCTATCTGCAATGCCATCAACGTTGTTGTAGCCATAATCGTTGTTATTGTTGTCGTTGTTGTTGTTATTATTGCCGTAGTAGCTGCTGTATCTATTGTTTTGAAGCGCTGACACGGACTCCTCCTCGCAGGCCGATGCGAGAGTTGTGCGCCTTGTTGGGCCACCAAATCGTGCAGCAACAATGGCCAACAGCAGCAGCTGAAAATGTAACCACAAAAAGAACACAAAAGATATATATATATATATGTACATAAATATGGCGATATCTGTAAATGTTTTGGGCTAATATAATTACAAAAAAAGGGCTCTGGACTGCGCAATTCGATTTGATTGGCTCCCTGAATGGCATTTAATATGCACTCTAAGTCACGCAAGTGGCACAAATCTAACCACTAATTCAAGTTAAGGTCTCACAGGCTTTTGATTGATAAAAGCAACTAAAACAAAACGCAGACGCAAACTTCCTGTCGCAAAGTTCAATTCCCTTTTGGATGTTGACAATCAATGCGTCGGCATTTTGTCAAAACCCAAACAAGAAGGACCGAAAATTCAACACTCTTCTTGACCGATTGCTGCCTTAGTATTTAAATTATATAATAGTTCGATTTGATACGGCTTACCTCCTGGAAATTCACAATTGCTCTATATATATTATTATATTTTACTTATAGGTAAGGAGCAAAGTTAAGTTAGTTTCCTCAAACCCAAAAACTTTACTTGTAATCGTTCATTTCCATGCTACAATATGATATAATTGTCCGATGCGACCTGCACACTTTCAACTTTCGCATAGAAATAAACAAATAAATATGACTATAACTATTCAGATTTTGTTCCCGATAAATATGGCTAGCGACATGTATTTCTAAGCGTCACACACTTCGTTACAACATTATGATACTCCGTGCAAGAGTATTGAAAACCTCACAAAACCCTAAAACCAAAACCGAACCCAAACAAGTTGTCCAAAACTTTCGAGCCTTCTCCAATGCCGTGTGGACTATTTAGAAGTAGGAGGATTGCACGCGCCTATTCCGGCTGGCTGGGACATGAAAAACTTTTAGCAACCAGCCCTTGGACATGCTTCCATTGAGTGAGTGCCCCAGTCAGCCAGCGTCAGTGCCAGTCTGGTGACTTTGATTATGTGGTCCTGTCGCTTTCTCCCTCCCCCCTCTAGCTTAATCTGAAAGTGCCCGCAAGTCAAATAGAGTCGTCCTGGCGCGTCATCGCATTTGGGTGCTGCTTTCGGTCCGGATAATGCCTCTGACTGCCGTGCGACCCCTGCGATAATATGCCGCACGCGTGGCCCAAGGATATATAGAACATATGTATATTATGTACTTTATAGGTATGTAGACCTATATTTTACCACATTCATAATAAGCACACGGTACGTGACCAAATAGTTGGCGCCTTAATAGAAAATGTTCTAAAAACTATGCAATGCCAAGTGGAAAGAGCGCAATACGTTAAGATTGGATACTGGATACCCTATTATAGTTAAATTTTAAGGAAATACAAGTATTTATAGAAACATTTATCAAATATTAAAAACATAAAAGCACAAATGCAATAAATATTGGGGTGCATATACAAAATTAGGAGTATTCTTCTATACAAGTATATTTATACGTCTTTATATATAAATTGTTATTGGAATAGTAGTGTATTAATTTAATTATAATTTTGTAATAATATTATAGTTGTTTCTTACTGTCATTTTGGTTGTTAGAACTTCGATTTTTAGTTGACTGTGTCAAGTTTTCCCCCATTCCTCCATCTTATTTTATGTAAGTACCAAAATAATAGATAATCTGATTGTAAAATATATCATGTACCATTATAACATTTTCTGGTAAATCTGATATTTTAAGAAGCCGGAACATCTTTCCGTAAGTCTTAAATAAGGTACAAACCGCAGCATAACTAGAATAAATCTTTCACTTTGGACTACAAGTTCTTTTATATCCAGCTAGTTTTACATGCGCACAACACACATACATATAACTAAATGGCACATATGTACACGGAAGCGTATAGTTATATGTATGGGAATCTAAGTTTCTTGTTGCTGTGGCTGTGTAAGATTTCTTTTATGCCTGCTGCTGTGGCATTTCCTGCCTATCGTCTTTTGGCCCAGTGCCTACCGCAAAACTTCTTTCATTTGCGCTTTTTGCCTTAGCACCCAATGCCCCATGTTTGCCGGCCCCGTTCGATCCCCTGCCCTGCGCCCTCTAAGCGCCAAGCAGACCAAGTTTGGGGCAAGTTTGTCAAACTATTTGTATGGAATTCACAATTTCTGTTGATGAAGTTTCGCACAAGACGCTCGCTGGCTTACGATGGCCGCGTGATCTGCGTGTACAAGTGTTTATGGAATTGAATACTTAGTGCGGGGGCGGAAGTAGAGGGTTGGGTTGATGGCTGCTTGTTGTGAGTCCATTGACTGCCAGTTGGTCTTACAGGTGGCATTGTCTTAGTTTAAGACATCTTTTCCTGATTTAAAGTTGTCAGCCTAATCCGATTTCGCCTACTGGGGCAAGCTGACTAAAAAATATAGAAAAAGGGTCGTTCAATCCTAGCTGAAGGCTTAGAGACCCTCAAAATCCTTGCCACACGCCTGGTTATTTCCTTTTTTTAAGCCTTTAACATTTCTTTTTTAAATATTTTTCATTCAGTTTAAATATTTATATAATTCTTATTTATTTAAGCTACAAAAACATTTTTCATATGTTTTAATCCTTATATAAGTTGCACGTGTATTATTTAATGCCGTTTTTAATGAACATTAATTAAATAAATAATTGCTCAATATGTGTGTGTACGTGTGTGCGCGTGTGTGTGTGTTCTGTTGAATATTATAAATATGGGTTCGCACGTGCCAAGGACAATTGAAATTATAATTTCATAATTTATTGTGCATGCTTGCAATAGTTTTTCTTTGTTTTAGCAAAAAACTATTATTTTTGGATTTTAATACCCTTTACTTATTTGGAAGCTATTGAACATAATATATTTCTAGCCTGCAGCTTTGCCAAGAAAACGGCTTTTAATATAGTTTTTACTCCTTAGCAATTTCATTTTTACACGAGGAATATTCTTTAGTTTTACACATTTTTTGTCTGCTTTAAAATCATTAATTTTTTTTTAAATTTTTCTTATACTTTTGCTTGATGTATTTTCTTTATTATGGAAGATCCATTATCATGGAATTTTTCCTGAAGCTCAGCCTTCATATTGTTTTAGGTTTTACTCTTTCGAATTTCCTTTTTACGAATTATAAATGCTCTTTATTTTTCTATAATTTCTGGCTATATGGGTTTACTTAAAATTTGTATTATTTTTTTTTTTCCTTAACTTTACCCATGTTGATTCCATTTTTTCCCGTTTTTCAAGCCTATTATATCTTCTTTGTAACAAAAACTTTTTAAAAAAATCTTTCTTTATTTCATATTTAATTATATTCTGTTAATTCCATTCCTTGATTTTCTGCATAAATTGTTTTCATTTATTTTTTTAATAATCAAATTGTTAACCGCAGTTTGGCCCATGATTACCTTTTTTATGCAGGGTATTCGTGCGTCCTTTACATTATTTTATATTATTTTTATCTTTTTGTGGGTATATTTTGTAGCTGCCATTCAATTACATTTTCAATCAAACAACAATCCACCGGGCAATGTTCAACTGTCGACACACGCATTCAGACACACACACACACACACACACATTTATACACACACGTACCACAAACATATGTAAAGTGCCAATATATATATGTTTATATATATCGTATATGGATTGCATAAATTTGTGACCTTTGAGTTTTCAATTCAATTTTGTGCACGGCAGCAATTGTTCGGCAAAACTTTGTCCTTACACCAAAAGCGCAAAAACAAGCAACAAAGTACACTCACACACATGCACACACGCAGAGGCACACTCAGCCGCAATTTGCATGCATTGGGTTGAAAAGGGGGCGTGTGCTGGGGGCGGGTGTTGCTGCCACTCGAAACATAAAACAACAGCAAAAAAAATTTAGAACATGAAAATTTTACATTGCTTTTTTCGATTTGTTTTAATTGTTGCGCTCACTCCATGTTGTTGTCTTTGTTGTCGTCGTCGGCGCTGTTGTTCTTGTTGTTGTTGTTTGTTTGTTTTGCAATAATTTGGATTGGTCTTTGGCTGTTGTTGGCTGTTGGCTGCTGCTGCTTGCGTTTTGGCAATACATGCGGCTGCTCTGGCGATTATTATTGGCAATTGTCAAATATTAGTTTTTGTTATGGTTTCATCAGAGCGAAAGCATTGATGGCGATTTTAATTAATTTCAAAGTTTGCCAATATCAAAAGTTGCCTACAAGTTGCCCCGTTTTTGTTTTTGTTGTCGTATCGCAATTTCAAGTGTCGATAGGTCAATTTGCCAACGTATTTATGAAAATTTTTGCGACTGTTGACCCTCAAAACAGAATTTGAGTTAGGTGGTTTTCTTATTGTTTTGGGCTATTTAAGCTTTGTCACCAAATGTATTACGATTATAACACTCCGTTAAACATATAAAGGCAGTCTGAATAGTCGACTCGATATAGTTATAAGCGAGCATATATAAGCTATTAAGCATACATTTTATTGGAGAGTATGAATAGCCGACTTGTAATAGTCATATGTGTGCGTGTTAGGTGAATAATTAGTGAACAATTTTTTTTCATTTATGAGGCCTTATTAAACACTCATAAGTACTTATCTATACCACATTAGGGTTTTAATTGATATTAATAGTATCAATATTTGTTAATATTTTAATTTAATATTGTTACTTCAATTTAGCAAGTAACAATTATTTATGCAAACATGCAACTGACTATTATAATTTATGAAATTTTATTATTAAAATATATCTAAATATAATGAGCAGATGTTATTTAATTTAATGTCACGATATTTTTATTTTTTTACAGATGACCTGGGAACTCCTCGAAGGCGAAATTTGAATATCCTAATCAAGCTCACATAGTTCGGATTGTATTTAGCGAATTATCGTCTAAACTCATAATCTGCATCGGCTAAACAAACATGAGAAGGTAAATAGAGTTTTTGTACGAATAACTTTTTATATTTTTTTAGAAGAACTAACATTAAGCCAGCCAATGCTGCTGGCGTTAACACAGAACGCTTAAAACATCTATATCCTCTAATCGTCAGCA